TTTCTGTTCTGCTGCAAGTGTATGCCCTGACTGCATCTTCAGTGCTTATGACTGCCAGCAGTGAAAAGCCCTTGAAAACCACCTCCTTTGTAAGGGTTTGTGCTCTTTTGGTCTGTCTGTTCCCAGTGCTGGGAAAGCAGGTATGTCATTTTGGAGCAGAGCCAAAGTAGCATCTTCACGGTTTAACAGCTTGGCATTCTTTTTTATGACCCCTGCTGTTTTTACCAGGAGGTTGTACAGAGATGCTGGGCTGCTTTTTCCCCAGTTCCTCTAGCAACCCTTACAGTGTCCTAAATCTTCACAGGCCCATTGTAGGTATTCCAAAATTCAAGCCTAGTTGTACTGTAACCATTGTCAGCTCATGTGCTCTACATTGTAAATCATTACAGATCAGTCTTTCAAGTAATGTTAAGTACTTCGTGTGGATTAGAATTGTTACAGTTTTTGAAAATGTGGGCTCAGCAATTAATAGGGAAATAATCAATTTTTCTGTGTGCATTGTCCCCTTTTATCCCACTGATGATGAGGGGATGGCAGCCTAATTGTGGGTGTGCTTTTGATGTGCTTGTAGAGGTGCAAGATCCTCTGACTCTTAGCCTTATGTTGTACAGCTCAGTTTCTCCCCTTGTAAAAGATGTTGTGCTTGTTTATGTTGTGCTGTATTTATCTATGCAGTGTGTTTTTAAAACCTGAATATGAAAAGTTTTGTTTCAGAGATGTACCCACACTACAGGGTAGGAAAACTGGTTAGTCAGTGTAGAAGCACACAGCTTAATATAATGACCAAGTTAACTCACCAAGAAATAGTGGGATGAGAATGGAAATAAATTTTCATAGACCTCTGTTGCACATCAGCAGAACGTTTCTAGCTAGAACCCAGGTGTACTCTTCAAAGCAAGTTTGTATGCTTGTGAAACACTTAAAATTTGCTGTGAAAAGTACTTAACTTCTGAGGAAGTGTTTGAAATGGGCATGTGGCACTGGGTGACTCAGAGCAGGACTCTGTGGGCTGTACAGAGTGGAAAGATGTGAAATGTGAGGTGATGTTTTTTGTGCAGTGACAATACAACCAGTAGTTTCAGCATCAACCTGTGATTAGAATTAAAGCACCACTGAGCAGAGCTCATTTTTTCTTCAGCCTTTCACTTAGGTGACCATATGGGACAGCCTGACTCTGGCTGTTTGACAGATGCCCACCCAGCTGCTCTCTCACTACACTTCCTCAGCAAGCCAGGGAGAGGAAATAGGTTGAAAAAGCTGCTTTAGATTAATAAAGAAATAAGCACATTTTCTTCTAGATCCAGAAAACTAGGTAGAAAAATTTACCAGTGATTTTCCACTGAAACCTTTCCCTAGCAGCAGAATCATACTGAATATACTAGACAGCTTTTTTTTAATGACCCAACTTGCAATTTTGGGGATAATTTTTTCGAATTTAGAGATAATCTAAATTCTAGCAAACTCATTGGATCTGACTGAAATACTTCTTCCATAACTCTCTTCTCCATTAAAATGTTCAGAAAGTTTTTCTGACTGCTTAGCTTGGAGTCTAGAACTTTCTTTGAAGTTATTACTTGATAACAGAGCCATGGTTGCTTAATGAGCTGTCTCCCAAAAAATGTGTTCTACTAGTATCTGTTGCTGAATTTTTGAAATAGGAGAAGTATTTCTTCTGATTATGTTGAAGTCAGCTGTTCTCTGAAACTCTGGTAGTTTGCAGAGTCAAGTATTTTGATTTTCAAAAAATTTTAACAGAATCTAAAGGAATATTAAGAATTAGCATTGGAATGGTAAATTTTGGCTGCTAGGAACCAAGTTTTCTGTACAAGTATTTAATCCTGTTTGCTCATGATGTTTTCTGCTTATAGTAGAATAAATTTTGAGTCACTATCAATGGTAAGAGACCATGGACTGACTCAGAGAGCTTCATGCTGCCCAGCAATGTTTAGGCCAGTCAAGTGCATTATTTATGAGTAAAAACCTAGCCAGCTTAAAGACTTCTTATACACAAAAACTTTATAAAAAAGGAGGAATTGGCTTTTCACATTAAGCATTCCCTCCCTCCACCTAATAAGACCTAAACTACATCTGCCTTCAAGGCATGTTGATACATTCCATACTTATAAACTTAAGCAGCAATCAATTGAAGGTGGGAAATTTTTCCATTGTCATTAAAAAGTACAATATTGTTTTCTAACAAGTGAAAGGAAGACAGTAAAATTCATGGTATTACTAAAGAAAAGAACAGTAGTCAGAAGCAAAAGCACGAATAAGATAATTCAAATAAGTAATGTAAGTACAGGTGTTTTCTGTGGTAATCACTTGGAAGAAACAGAATCTTTTGTGTTTCAGAATGAAGGGATTTATTACAAATTCATTTGCTAAGGAGAGGGATTTTTTGGCTAAGCATGTAAGAGAATAATGTAGTAGTAACTGATGGAAAAATGTGTAATAGCAAATATAAAATACAGTATAGGGAGAGAAATTCTAATAATAAAAGGGCATATTTCCTTAGTTTTATGCATTATTTTAACTTTCAGTCTTCTTTACAGTGGAATTCATTCAAAAAGCAGAATGTACTTATAAATCTTCCAATAAGTACCCATCAACAAGACAAAAACAATTTTTTTTCTCTCATGGGTATGCATGCACTGTGTGCAGGAAATATTGAAAACTACAAATGTATTATCCTCTGTGACAGAGAAAAGCAGCTATATTTCTTCCAAGACTAATATTCTCTTAAGTTATTTAATATTTTTCTCCTCCCATTTAATTGCCAACCACATCATGATACAGTGAGACTTTTTTGCTAGTTTTAATTTTTCTTTTTAAATGAGTTTTCTAAATTTTTCCTCATATTTGCCTGTTCAGTGTAATGGTAAGAATGAGGAGTATTCTCATCCCTTGCTCCACCCCAAATTTATCATGAATTAATTCTGAGTGTGTTCTCTGTGGTTTAGGAGCTCTGCAGACATGACGCTGTTCTGCCCCTGTACTTCAGAGTATGCTTGTTATGTGTCTGTGTACTACAGGGACAAAATCCTGAGGTTGTGCTTTCCCTGACACCCAGCAGAAGAAAGAGGTGTATTTGGTCACTTCTCACTGGGAATGCTGTAGTAGCCATGCTGTCTCTGGCAAGAGAAGTTTGCATGTTCAGGCAGGTCTGTGGTAGGTTCTGTGGCAGTCTTTTCTTGTAAGCTGTCACTGATGAGCAAGGACTAGTAACAGTAAAAGGTAGAAGCAGGATGAAGTAATTTTGTCTGAGCTCATTTATGATTTGCTTTCCTTGATTTGTATTTTAAAATAAAATAGTGTAGCAGGAAAAAAAGTCGCATTCATTTATTTTGGCCGCACCTGGTGAAATCCATTCTGCATCTGTAAAGCTCAAGTCTTCCATTGCTATTAGACAGAAACAGAACAGTAATTTTTGTAAAGTATGCCCTTCCAGTGTTTATGGCTGCTTTGAAGAATGAAATCTGTATATTTTTTATGCCCTGGCACTGGGTACTGTGGAGGCCTCTGGAATCCTTTGGCCTGTCTCCATCCTACCATTCTGCTGACAAAAACACTTTGCAATTCCGAGCCTTATGAGATACCAAAGTGCCCCCGTTCATTAGCACTGCTTGCCCTTGTCTACTTGGTTGCTTTTTTTCATTGTTTTTCCAAAGACAGCCTAAGGGAACTAAGCTAACATGCAGAATTTGTAAAAGAATTGTAGCAGACTGAAGTATGTTAATTTGCATGTAGTTTCATAAGCAGAAGAATCCAAAGACATGACTTCTATTGATTTTTGTGTCACCTTTCCTGTGTACATTGTCTGATAAAGCTTCATCAAATGCTCCAGCTTTTCCCTGAGTGGGGGAGAATTCGTAGAATTTATCTTCTCTTTTGAGCTTTCTGTTTTCATTATAGTTACAGTTAATGATCTATATGGGAAATTGGCAAAAACTAGTATCTTGGGGAAAAATTGGAAGACAGTGAGCAAAATTAAGAGACAACACACTCCTTTCACTTTAGGAAAGGTTAAAAGTTATGAAAAGAGCTGAGGTGTTTAAATCATGATGACTGAAGACAGGTGCAGATGTTTTGCTTTAATGAGTTATTGCTCCAGTTGCTGGTCCTCGATTGCAACTTGACTGCTGAAGGTGATTTGATAAACCCATGGACTTCAGGAAGTGGAAGCATGAGAATGTTGTATGTAGCATCTCTCCTAGATGGAAAATAACTTTCAAGCAAGTCAAGGCTGCCTGTACTACTAAATCAGTACAGCTTCTTCATGATTGCATGTTCATGTCTTTAATTTTTCACTGGCTTCTTCAGTGATTTGAGAAATAAAACCAGATTGGGTTTTTTGGGATCCACCCTCATTTATTATATGATTCAATTTATATGAAAGAAGCATTCATCTGTTATTTCTTTTGAAGACATAGTGAAAACCTTGTGAAAGTCCTAGTGTGAAGTATTTTCAATGTGTTGTAAAGCTAGGTGTCCTATCCATTTATTGTATATACTATAGACCAAAACTCATGCAGTTCTCAATTTAAAAATGTAAGAAACAATCACTTCTGCATATATTTGCTGTGTATTCAGATAAGTAGATTTTATCTTTCTGAATCATTCCCGGTTATTTTTCTTACTTTCATTTTGAAAATTATGTTCTTTCTTTATGTTTAGTTTTATTCCTCATCTGATAACTGTTTACCTTGCTGAAACCAGCAGGTAATGATCTTATTTCGGTTTTTACATGATTTTTACTGAGGCTAAACAGTTAAGAAAATTATAATATTACAGAATTTTTCGTATTAATGAACCCTGTCTTATTCTGCTAATGGAATATAAATATCTAAAACCAAGTAGCATGAGAGACCTAAAAATGAAGAGTTCATGTTAACAAAAAAAATTTTCATTAGATGTTTTCAAAGCATATCTATATCTATATCTATGCATCATAATTTGCTTTGATAAACTGACATTAATTTCTGATATTTTTCTTTACCCAGGGAAATTACCGCTTCATGAAACTTTTGCTGGCTCGTAGAGGGAACTGGATGCAGAAGGACTTAGAGGATATGACACCATTGCATTTAACTACACGTCACAAAAGTCCAAAATGTTTAGCTTTGTTGTTAAAACATATGGCACCTGGAGAAGTGGATACCCAGGACAGAAACAAGGTAAAAGTACTGCTTATTGCAAGATAGCTGCTTATTTTAAGATTTGTAGCAACTTTAGGAATTGGTTTTACATCAAGCAGTTGCGTGCAAAAAATTATTTTTCATAAACTTTTTCTAGGTCTTCAAAGTAGAAATATTAATGTTTTCCTGATGTTAATGATGTCAAAGCTCTTTGCACTGGCTCTGCTGACCTTCTTCTTGAGAGTAGTTACAACAATAGAAGATTCAAAAACCATCCAAGTCTTTCTATAACATTGTGATTCTTGTTGGAGTCTGATAGCATGTGCTTATGTTGCTTTTCTGCCTTTGAAAAACCTCACACTTAGAATCTTGTAATGATAAGAGTCACTAGAAAACTGCCTATAATTACAGCAGTCATTCTGGAGGAGTCATGCTGACTTCATGACCATGCTAATTAATTAACAAAGGTATGCATAGACCAGCCAAAACCATTTAGCAACTTTGCCTGTTCAGCAGATTTCCGAGCCAGTATTTAAAGCATTGCCAGATTCCCCACAAAACATGGAGCACTTTTCTCCTGGTTCATGTCATGAGTAGTCGCAGTAGCAAAAATGGAATTCAGATTGGTGAAAGATGATCTCAGGCACAGAGTCCGACCTGTTGGGCATGTTGGGCACGTGGCTTTTTCAGTTTCCTTGCTGCAACTGTGCACATCAAAATTGTCAAATATAATTCCTGAACATGAGGGAGAACAAGTGTCCTTTACGTCTGTTTCCATGTCAGTAACTGACTGAAACTGGTTGTAGATGAGAGAAGTCAGTGAACCAAGGCTACCAAGGCTTTCTGGTATCCAAACCTTTCTGCTTGCATTGCAACTGTCACTTTCCAGGAATACTGGTCAGCTCCATTTAATAAATAACACTCATTAATTTAGTGCACATTTTTCCTGGTACAAGACTGGTGGCGCTTTGTGGAGCCCTTCTTCAGTGAGTGACAAGCAGAAAAAAAGGCTGTGCTATCTTATTGTTACCATGGTATTAAGCTAACAGCTGGCAGCAACAAACACAACAGGCTCCTTTTTGCCTTCTTCCTTCACAGAAAGTTAAGGATATGATGGTGAACTTACAAATTCCATGTCACTGCTTCAGGATGCTAATGCAGGGTATTGTACTTCAATACACAAATGTCCTGTAGGAGTTATTTCTCTGTTTCTAATCAAAGTGCCAGGTAATGTTTGGTAGGGGTGATGGGGTAAGAGAGGTGGGAAAAAAATTCATTCTTTATCTTATAACTGTGTTACTTGGCAGTTGGGAGAGGTGTGTCTGGTAAATGAAATACTTGTTAATATGCCAATGTTTTGCTGGTTAAGAAACCCCCACACACTGGTTTGCTTATGTAGTTAGGAACGTTGATAAGGACTGTGAAAAAGCTGTTGGCAGTCAGAAATTGGCAGTAGGAGCATGGATTGCCTTTTGAAGTTTTATTGGACTGCCATTGGGCATTAGATTCACTAATATTCAACCTCAGAATTCTGAGTTATCCCAGACAATAAAGTCAAAACCTTAGTTCAAGATGGATCTGAGTCCAGTGTCAGCGTACGGTGTCACCTTCCCCTAGTGGAGAGTAGTCTGCATCAATTTGTGTCATCCCAACAGAGTTTGAAATTTAAGAGGGACCACACTAATCACTGCATTTGTTCTATAGTGCAGCTCTGGGGCTGAGGCCTGGTTCAGGTCATCATTCTAGCTTGGATGTCATTGCTTAATACCAAGCACAGATATTTTCTCTGGGTGTGAACTGCTGCACCAAATAGCCATCAGGGCAGTGCTAAGTGGCATGCAGATTTTTCTCTTGCCATAGTCCAACAAATCTTCATAAAAAGCAGTCTCCTACCAGAGAGACTTATGTTCCAAGCATACGGGCTTCTCAGTTTGGATCCCATGTAAGGTGGTGCAGCTTAGACTTGACTCAGACCTCAGTAGGTGTGTGATGATCTGCCCTTACTGAAGTAAATGGGCCTTTATTCGGCTTTGTTTAAAGCCTATTTTCATAGGTTTTTCAGTTGTCAGCTACGCCAGGTACATTTTTGTCGGTTTTTTGTCAGTCCTCTTTCTTGAAGTGTAACAAATGCTTGTTTATTTGCCTGTTGTTTAAGGCTAGTTTTAGCCAACTTTAATTTTCATGTTTCAACAATTCTTCAACGTGTTGAAAAAGCTTGTGAAAATTGTATTGCAGCAAACTGCATTGCATTGGAGTGCCTACTACAATAACCCAGAGCACGTGAAACTTCTCATCAAACATGATTCAAATATTGGAATTCCTGATATTGAAGGAAAAATCCCACTTCACTGGGCAGCTAACAACAAGGACCCTAGTGCAATCCACACGGTGAAATGTATTCTGGTAAGAAAGTCTGCAATATATGTATATAACACTTTCTCTCCATACTACTTTATATTTTTTTATTCTCATAAGATTTCTCATTTTGGTCCACTGACTCTTTGAGAATGAAATAATTTGCTTTTCCTAACATCCAGAACTTTGTAAGAAATAATCCTAAATATTTTTGCTGTCTTGAAAAGAGTTTGTTTGATTTCTATGGGTGAATGTCTTTGCTTGAAGTCTTGGAAGGGGGAAGGAAAGACTTAAAAGTTTTCATGGATAAAATGGCCAGTCATATTGCTCATTTCAGCTGCATTTTGCACACTGATTTCTTTGTTATGTGTCTTTCCTTCATAATTTAAAAGTTTATATCTAGTTATCTGTCTACTGAAAATTTTAGTTTAATTTGGTTTCTCAGGTTAGGATTCTGGGAAATATTTGATCAATTGTCAGTCAGCCCACAGTCAATTTGCTGAGAGACTTTCTATGTGATTTTGTGTATGAATTTAATACTGTTTCCTTGATAGCATATTCTCTCTTTCTGCAATATTTGAGTTTATCTTCTGCAGTGACAGTTATTATGGGTACAATGAAATCATATGCTCAGCCTGATTTTTACCTTGATTTTAATTTAGTGAAAATTTCTCAGCTTCACTAACATGGAAAGATACAGAAGCCGCCTCAATTTAAATTTTCTGTCACCTTAGAACAATCTTTCTGTATCTTTGTTTTTCAGAAGTAGACACATGATTAGCTGGCAAGCTGAGAACTTAAATATGAAAATGAAAACTTTCTTTGCTTTTTTTCAAATCACACTGACAATCTTACAGTTACTGATACTTTTTTTACTATAATAAATAGTTTTAGAGAAGATTCCAGCATCAAAGAGATTGCATTTCTGTAATACTGCTCTTTATTCGATATATTTGTAATTCGTATCCAGCTGTGAAATAATTTATTACAAAGTTTTGTCACGAACTTTGAATTTGTATCTGCTTTTCTGCCACCCTGGAGAAGTAAACTTGCTGCAAAAAATATATGGATCTTTGTATTTAACTACAGACTTTTTCAAACATTAGGCAGTCAAAAGACAAATATTTTTAAGGCTGTGATGTATTGGGGCTCAGACAAGAGCCTCACACCCACACAGGCACTCACTCACCTGTCCTCTTTCAAGGCAGAGAAAGTAGAAGGAAGGCAAGAAGTCTTGTGGATGAAGATAATGCCAGCCCAGTATAGAAAGCAAGAGCTGCATGCAGAAAAGGAAATTTATTCACTCTTCCCATCAGCAGGCAGATGTCAGCCACTTCCGGCAAAATGCAAAAAAAATCTTCAGCTTGCTTATTTGTGCTTGGGGAAACAAATGGTGTAGCCATGAACATCCTTGCTGCCCTCCCCCTGTCTCTGGGGGTTTTTGCTTAGCATGATATTATATGGTATGATGTATTGTTTGGGTCAGTTTGTGTCAAATGTCCCAGCTGTGCCCTGTCCCAATCTCTTGGCCGCCCTCAGCCCATTCACTGGGGTAAGCAGGGCAGCAGGATGTGAAAAAGAGGAATCCACAATAGCCAAAACATGGTTGTGTTATCAACAGTTTTAATCACAAAGTCCAGTTGCTGCAAGGAAAATTAACTTCATCCCAGACGGTTGTACAACAAAATAGCAAACATACTTGTCTCTCTACTGAAAGTGTTCTCAAAGATTCTCTTAGGTAATCCAGAATCATGAGCGTCCAGGATTTTTGGAATACTTTTTTGGTTTGTTTGTGTTTGTAGTTTTGTTTTGTTTTTTTTTAATCTGACAATGAAAAGAATCAGAGAATAGTTTGAGTTGGTAGGAAACTTTTTAAGGTCATCTAGTTTAACCACCCTGCCATGGGCAGGGGCATCTTCAACTACATCAGGTGGCCGAGGGCCCTGTCCAGCCCTTTGAACTCTCCCAGGACTGGGGAATCCACAGCTTCTCTGGGCAACCTGTTCCAGTGCCTCCCCACCCTCACAGTAGAATTTCTTCCTAATATCAAGTCTAAACCTGCTCTCAGTTTGAAATCATTCCCTCTTGTCCTGTCACTCCATGCCATTATAAATAGCCCTTCTCCAGGTTTCTTGTAGGCCCCCTTTAGGTACTGGAAGGCTGCTGTAAAGTGTTCTGGAGCCTTCTCTTCTGCATGTGAGAACTCTCCCAGCCTTTCTGCATAGGAGAGGTGCTCCATCCTCTAATAATCTTGGTGGCCTCCTCTGGACTCACTCCAACAGTTTGATATCTTGCCTGTGCTGGGGACCCCAGAGCTGGATGAAGGACTCCAAGTGGAGTCTCAGGAGAGCAGAACAGAGGAGCAGAATCCTCACCCTCCACCTTCTGACCACACTGCTTTTGGTGCAGCCCAGGACATGTATGGCCTTCTGGGCCACAGGCACACGTCCAGCCTCTTGTCCTTTACCCAGCACCCCCAAGCCCTTCCTGGCAAGGCTGCTCTTGGCCTGTTCAGCCCCCAGCCTGTGATAGTGCTGGGCTTGCCCTGACCCCTTGCCTTGCACCTTGCACTCACCTTCATTGAACTTCATGAGTTTCCCATGGGCCAACTCCTACTTCTTGAGCTTGGCCAGGTCCCTCTGTATGGTATCCCATCCCTCAGCCTTGTCAGCTGCACCACCCAGCTTGGTGTCATCTGCAGACTTGCTGAGGGTGCACTCAGTCCCTTCACCTGTGTCATTAATGAATGCATTAAATCTCACTGGTCCCAGCACAGCCTCCTGAGGGGCATCATTGTTTTCCATTGGGACATTGACACAGTGACTACTCCTCTGGATGCAACTGTCCAACCAATCCCTTATCCATCAAACAGCCCACCCATCAAATCTCTCCAATTTGTGGACAAGGATATTGTGGGGGAATGCATCAAAGGCTTTGCAGCAGTCCAGAAAAATAACATCCATAGCCATTCCCATTCCACTGATGTAGTCACTCCATCATAGAAGGCCACTGGGTTGGTCAGGCAGGGCTTGGTGAGCACCAGGTCCAGTGACCACATTCCCTCTGTTGGGGCTGTCTGTCACCTGTCTTGAGAAGTTATCCTGCATTCATCCCAGGCATCTCCTAGATTCCCAATAGCTCACCGGGCTGCTTCTCTGCAAATGACAAGGTGGTTGAAGTTCCCCAGCAGGACAAGAGCCTCCAGCACAATCCCTCCTGCAGCTGGAGCAAGAAGGCTTTGTCAGGAGGCTCTCCTTGGTCAGGCAGCCTGTAGTAGACACTGACCACAGGGTTCCTTTATTGCCTTGGTCTCTGATTCCTGCCTACAGCCTTTCTACCTCCTCATGGCTGTTCTCCAGGGACAGCACGTTGCAATCTATCCATCTATTGTAGAAAGCAACCCCTTTGAACCTTTTTCCTGTCCTGTAGCCACACACCAGTCATGGATTCATCCCACCAAGTTGCAGTAGTGGCAACTAGGTCGTGGCTTTCTTTTGGTCGTTTCCAGCTCCTCATGTTTGTTGCTCATGCTGGGTGCAGAGGTTTAGAGGCCCTTTGGCTGGGCTGAAAAGCGTGTGTTCTTGATTTCATCCAGGCTTTTTTATGCATCAGCTTAATTGTTTATATTGCAATTAGTTACATCTATATGTGCTTAATAACAGAGTAAGTTAATAACAAGTTTAAATGAAAAAGTAATTTAGCTATGCTGTAAAGTTGATGATAGAGGAATGTTGTTATTAGGTAATCAATCTGTTGACTGAATTTTGTTGAGTATAAATACCTTTTTGTGCTGGTGGTAGTGCCCTGAGTTCAATTCTGTAGTAAAAGCTTCTCTCCAAATCAAAGTGTTTTTCTTACTTGTCTTGAAGTGACAGAGCTTCACAGCGCAGACACAGCAGAGCTCACAGTCTTCCCCTCCTTTCTTAGCTGCTTTTCCCCATATTACCCAGTTCCAAGGCTATTGTCTAAGCATCATGTTTGATTCTCAGTCCTCTCTAGGCCTTCCAACTTTACAGTTTTTCACATTCCATATTGTATTTCTAATGGATGTACTCATAGAGTGAAAGTTTCTGTAATCTTGTGTTTTAAGGTATAATTGCATTTTTAAATTTGCAAAAAACCACCATCTTGTGGTGATAGCAGTATAAAAGGCAAGTGTCCATGTCACTGTTGCTTCCCCATTTTTAATCGCATCCAACCAAACCATTTCTATTTGCTTTTTTTAAGCATCGTGCCATTGCCCAAACAGCAGTGAGGTATCAGTGTCTGCTTCCAGACTACCTTTGGTGCCTACTGGCCAAGTTATGAAAAACAACACTGCTATTGTTTCTCTCTCATTATTTTTAACACTGTGGAAGAATTCCCCAGAAAATTTTTTTTTCTCTAATATCCCACTTTGAATTCTCCAGCACTGCTTTACAAAAACTTGACAAGAGTTTAGCTGCTGGTTTTATTGAGACCACAGTCTATGGTACTGAAAAATACTGTCTTGTTTTTCTGTACTCTGCCCTCTGGGTGTGGCCAAATATTGTCTTCTGTTTATAAATTCTTAAAATTAAGGCTCATCTTTCTGTTTGGTATTTGTGTAGTACATAGTCCAATGGTATTGTCAAAATAAACAATTATGAAAAGAGCTGTGCTGAATGCTGAGAAAGTAGGTTGGGTGTGCAGGGGTGACAGCTGGGCACAAATCGGTTATATCTGATACTGAAATCCATGAAATACTGCCAAAACTGAACTCAACATATGTAGAAAGTAAACATGTGAAGTAGAGAGAAACTCTAATCTGGAGATCCTCTCATGGTCAACTTCCTTTTCCACCTTTCCAGATTGTGCTTGGTTACGTGAAAAACGTTGGGAAGATTTAAGGAGAAAAGAACAGCATAAGGTTCCATTATTATGATGGAAGCAACTGCTTAGTACCCTCTGTCTATTTTGTATCTCTTCTCTTTTTTTATTCTTCATGGTAAGAGACATGACATTTGTTTATACCACACTTTCCATTATTGCCTACAATTCCATTGTTCTAATTGCCACAGAAAAATGCTTAGCTTCTGTTTCTTCTCTGTATTGTGCTTAAAATATTAATACAGTATGACAGTTTAATTATAGCTAACCAAACCCACTTAAAATCTAAAGAAATTATACTTGTGAATGTAGGCAGAAACAGACTTAGAAAATTTTAATTTAGGTGGCCAAAAAATTCAAAACACATGAATACTTTTAGATTAGAATATAAATAGTGGCTTTGTCATTGGAGAATCTGTACCGTTTTGCATAAATAACACTTTTGAGTATGGGTATATTTCTTGGCAACATCAGTGATTTTAAGCCAGGAGTTTTAGGATTCATTTATTTAGGATGTTGTTGTGCTTCTGGAAGGCTTGAAAATTAGCTGTCAGGATTACATCAGCAAATTATGAGTGATTTGTTTTCTTGTTTGTCCATTTTGTTCAAACACATTTTCCTCTGGTGGACTTAGCATTTCAGTAATAACTTCTGTGCCTGTTATAATTCATGTTTAGCCACTCTTCAAAGTGATTCTCATAAAATGAATTTTTGCAGTAGGCTCTATGCTCCCCCTGCTGAGCTCTGTGAATAGACAAAAAGTAAGCATATTATCAGTTAGCTTTCTCTTCAGAAATATTTGAGTTAGGGAGCAACATACAAGCTTTCACTGTAGTGGTTCAGGTAAATGCTTTTGAATGCTTGTCAAAAGAACTGTTATGCAGGCTTTGATTATTGTGTTTTGTGCGTGTAATAATGTTAAGTTTGATTGCATTTTTAGTTGAGAGTCATATTTATCAATTTTGATGTTTTTAATAGTTTATGGTTATTGTACTGATGACTACATATATTAGTGAGCTCCAATGTGTTTTATGTTAATTTTTGACTCTAACAAAATATGGTTGATGCTACTGATACCTAATCTAAAACTGATGGTTTTTGTCTGAGATGGGGAGCTTAATTAGCATTTAATTAGCATTGGCAGATGTTATTACTCAGATACTGTACATCATCTTTGAAAAGGCATGCACAACAGGAGAGGTGCCTGAGGACTGGAGGAAAGCCAGTATCACTCCAGTGTTTTGACAAAGCCTGGAGAAGACTGAGAGGGGATCTTATCAATGACAAATACTTTAAGTGTGGATGTCAAGAGGATGGAGCCAGACACTTTTCAGTGGTGCTCAGCAACAGGAAAAGGGGCAATGGTACAAACTGAAACATGGAATTCCCATTTGGATATGAAGGAAGCATCTTTACTGAGATGAAAAGTGAGCATTGGAACAAGCTGCCTAGAGAGGTTGTGGAGTCTTCTTCTCAGGAGATATTTGAAACCTACCTGGGCTTAATTCTGTGCAACCTGCTGTGGTTGAACCTGCTGTAGTGGGGGGTTGGATTTGATGATCTCCAGAGATCCTTTCCAACACCAACCATTCTGTGATGCTGTGATTTGCATACAGTGTGCAATGTATGTAGCTCCTTAGATCTAGAAAACTTACATTAACCAAATATTAGGAGGTTTAACTTGGCACTGTAAGGAAGCAAACAGTAAGAAACAAAGAATTAGGGCATTGCAGAGTTGAAGTTACTACTGCTGTATTGAATTAGCCAGATTGCACTTAGAAAATATAGTGAAATATGACTCTAAATGTTTGGAGGGTTTTGAGGGTTTATTTATCCATTACATAGAAAATATAGATTGTACAACTTTGGGCAATTAGTATTTGCGTAGAAACCATAATTCTGGAATTTCCTTTTTTCTTCTTGACTTATTGTTCTCAATGTCAGATATTTGTTTTCCATGTAATAGTTACTACACATCAAGTAATGCAAATGCAAGTGATTCTGCAGCCAATTTGTGTACCTTGTGGAGCCAAAAGGAAAGATTGCAGTTAGTTTCATGAGAAAGGGGTCAGGAACTTGCTTTTACAGTTAAGAAGCTGCACTTACCACAATTCCTTGCTCCTCTTTCATAAATGTATTGTGATATAAAGTGTGACTCTGTATTTTCAGGAGGTTTGCTTTTCTCTCTTATCATGGGTTAAAATCCCCTCTAGTGTTGGAAGTTAAAAGTCTCAGGATTACATTCCCTTTTAATTCTGCATAGGGTTCCCATGATTTCACTGATTTGTTCTGAATTCTTGGAGATGGAAAAGCAGACTCACTCCCTCTGATTTACTTAAACTCTTGTTTTGACAATCTGCTTCAACTCTAGATGATGTGTCCTGCATCCTGAGGATGCAGATACAATGCTGTATTATTGTTTACCACTTTTTTTAGTAATACCTCTTTTTTTCAGAAAAGTGATGTTTAAAGTTTGTGTTTCATGGGCCTTTATGATATTTGCCATTTGAAGATCTCTCAGATGCTAAGATGATGTTCATTTTTATCTGTTCCGGTGTTCTGCCTGAAAAAGAGTCAGGGAGAGAAATCTGTATAGAAAAACATTTGACAGATGAAATTGTTCAAATACAAAACTATATAGCTAGAGACCTTATGTGAAAGTAATTTAGCATATTTTTAAGAAAAGGTGATGAAAAGTCAAGTTACATTTATTAATGCTTATGTTACATGATCAAGTGACTAATCATGAAACTTTAAAAGACGTTTTAATTCAAAATTAAGCCCATTAGAAGTAGATGCATTATTAGAAGTACTCTCTCACTTCTATCCTGTCAGCTAGAGACGTAAACCCCTCCTTTGGAAATACTTTAGGGGTATAAAACACTAGAAGAATATTATAGCAAAAGTCATAAAATTAACTTGTGCAAAAAGGGAAGTGTTGTTGGAGAAAATCTGAAGATAGAGATGTCATTTTCAACTTGTAAATCATGTAAGAATTTCTAGTTATTTTCATAAGAGCCAGAGTCAATCTTTTAATGATCTGTTTAAGGAACCGCATACACAGCAGACCGGTAGGACTATGGGGTATGTACCAGAAATCTGGTCTTGTACAATAATTAAGTATAAAAAAACATTCCATAAGAAATACTTGAAAGTACCCTATACTGTAACAAAAGCATTTGGTTGTGGACCTACTTTCTACTGAACAAGGACAGTGTATCTCTCTGAAAAAGCACCTGTAAAGGTTGTATAGGTTTTCTTTTAAATTTAAATATTCTTAGAATTTTGTTGTTTCTTTTATTTTTAAGGAAGCTGCACCTACAGAATCTCTGCTTAACTGGCAAGACTATGAAGGACGAACTCCTCTTCATTTCGCTGTTGCAGATGGGAATGTAGCAGTTGTGGATGTCCTGACCTCCTATGAAGGCTGCAATGTGACATCTTATGACAACTTGTTTCGAACTCCCCTCCACTGGGCAGCCTTACTTGGTAAACTGGACAGTGCTGAAGTCACTTAGTCATTAATTAACTGTACTGCTTAATCTTTCTCTTTGATTTTTATTTAATTCCAGCCTGGCAGTATGATAATTAATCTCTTAAAGCAAGAAGAGTTTCTGCTCAACCAGGATTAGAAGCTTGCGTGTAGACTGCTTATTTTAGCATCAGATTCTCCAAAGCATTGTACAATGCATCGCTTCAACAGGTTATATATGCTGATGATTTCAGAACAATTAGGGTGCATTGAGATCATTCTTGCATATTCAGCTTTGATCATATGTTAAAAAAACCAGATGCTCTGGAGCAGTGGTGTCTGAAGTGGGGTATGCACAGCCCAGCATGAAAGCAACACAATCTATGGGAGTGCATGAAGAAAATGCCAGAGTTCATTTTTTTATCTGAAAAGATAATTTGACTAATGTTTCATATAGATTTAAGCTAGTACCCTTGTTTGATCCATATGTAAGATGGTCACATGGGGTTTGCAGGGTGCCTGGGGAAGCTGAGCTGTTCCACAGTGCAGAGTGGTTGATGGTGGCATCATGAGTCTCATGCTCACTTTCAGCCTACTGTGATGTTCTGCAGTTCATGTCGGCCTGGTTAAGTGGATTTATGATTATATTATCTAGTTTTTATTAAACTACTCCTCACAAACTAAATAAGGGCTTAAGAAGATTCCCACAAAGAAAATGCAGATACTCTGATACTGCCAGCACAAGTAAACAACAAAAAATGGCAGAGTTGACACTTCTAGTATAAGCTCTTCATCAGACACGCTATGATAATCTAATCAGATCTGACAAGGAGTTTTATTTGTATAGAGTTCTTTTCTGTTTAGATTGTTACCCTGAGACTCAGACACTCTGTAAATTGTAACCTTGCATATGTGAATTTTGATTTGTGTTTACAAAAACTGGATCCTTGCAAAACAAGTTAAAACGTGATTAAATGTAAATAGTCTAAATGCAGAGAAACACAACCCCTAAAATGACAGACACAAAAATAATATGATTTAGAAAATTTACCTCCTATTTCCATTCAGGAGGAAAAAATAACCACTGGATAAAAGAATCTTCAAACAATCTCTCTCCCCTTTTAACTGGCTTCATCCCAATGATCCTTTGGGACACTGCAGACAAAGAATGCCAATATAAGAATCAGAATCAGATGTTCACTGGAGCAAGTTACTGCAACTCCAGTGGCAGTATACATGTAATTTGATTATGTTTATTAAAACAAAAAAGAGGGAAGGGTGTTCTCAAATTTGTATATATGTAGGGATATTGAATTTTAACAGAGAAATTGTGAAGCTTTTTAAGTGTCACAGGATCGGCTTTCCAAAGAAATAGTCATTATCACTTGGTTCTGTCCAAGAAGCAAAATTTATTGCATTTTGAAATTGATTGTATTTGAGGGAAGTTTTGTCTGTTGGAAAAATGGATTGTCTAATCATTGTAGAATAAAGGGGGAAGATGTGCCAAGCCCTCCAGACTATTTTGTGAACCTGATGAGGTCTCTAGGTGGCATATGCTCTTTGGGAATTTCTGATTAGTAAATCATGATTAATTTTCAGGGTTACAGTTTTAAGTTGAAGGTGATGTTCTATGTAGGTCTTAAAGAGAGTGAGATGTTACTATAGAGGTTAACAATAGGAGATTTAAAGCAGTGCAGGGAGGCTGCCACAACTTTTCTTAGATGTGATGGGTTGCAGGTGACTGCATCTTAAAGGCATTGCTGCTTCTCTTAGCTTTTCTTTTTGCATAGATAAAAGTCTTACCAGTTACATCTCTGCTAAATGAAAGTACAACAGTAATGACAGTTCTTGACCCCAAGAAATGAGTTTTAATCTTTACATTAATGGCCAAGTGAGATTCACCTTTGCACCCAATACAATTTTTTTTAACTCCTCAAGCCTCATTCTCATAGATAATTTAGCTAGACCATGTCCTCATTATGAAGTTAGGTTCCCTTTTTCTGGTTGTCTGTCCTGAAAGTTCAGGAATCTTTTTTGTCAGGCTCGGTACTCCTAAGGTTTTTCTGCTAGGATTTCACTCCAAAGCAACTTCTTCCAGTGAACCTCAATTTACTTCTTAGACTCTTCAGGTGGGAGTAGAATAGCAACATTATATCTCTTTTTTTTTTTTTTTTTCATTTTTGTTGTTGTTGTAGGAAGGGACAGAATAATGTGATGTTTTGTATCCTGCGTTCTCTTAATGGCTGGCAAGAAAGAAGAGCCTTCCTGTACACCCTAAGGCCCCTAGTAAGAAAAAATGCTCTCATAACTCTTCATCCTTTTTGACCCAAGTTACCATTTTCTCCCATTTCTGATACTTCTGTACGTATAAAGTGTCAAAGTGCCATTTCACAAAAGTGGGCTTGCCTAGTCCTCCATGTCTTAGGTTTTAAAGAGCTACCGAGCACAACTGTGTCACAGCTTCATTCTGGAACTGTTGGTGGTTTCATTAAAAATAATCTATTGCTAGCGGGAAGGTTTACCTACCTTTTTATTTATTCTGAAGTGATTCAAGACAACTGTGCAAAAGTAACAAGGGGCAAAATTGATTGCTTTTCTGACATATGAGGTACTGGAGGTTTTCACCTGTAAAATCAGAGTGGTTTCATAGTATTGCTTGAAATACCAAATCATTAAGATACTCTGTGAGCTGCATATGCTGACAGGAACAAGTATATGAACGGACTGGTTGACTTTAGTGGCAATATACTGTATTTGTCTTTGTTTTCCTGTCTGTGAAGTGAATATAAAGTTTACCCATCCTCCAAAAGTGTTGTGATTTTAATCTCAAAATATTTTGATCAGTTTTTCTGAAGGAGTTGTGTGTGAGCTTGTTTATAGCAGCTGGTAGTAGACTAGCCTCTGATTGTGCTATACATTCTTGGATGAAATTTTGGTTAAATAAAACCTGAGTGAAGAATTTACACTTGATTTCTGTAAAGCAGTGTGATGTGTGATGAAATTGTCAACATTGATTTAGCTTGTCTTTTAATGCAGATGGACAAATGCTCATCATCATCAGCCTATGCTCACTTTACTGTTTCTGACTGACCTGTCACTCAAATGCAGCATTTCAACTAAGTTGTTATAAGCTTTTTTGGAAATATTCAACCACTTCATTATGAAGTTAATATCATAGCTACTGGACCAGTTGCTGCTGGTTTCTTTATTTAGGGAAAAGCTCTAGTGATTTTGATTAAAAGAAATTTTGTATTTATAAGTCATTCTGATTTATAGACACTCCTCAAAAATGACAATACAGAGTAGGGCACTGGACCACTATTGGGAATAAAGTACATGCCAGACTTAATAGTTCAAATATCAAGTCTTATGTTTCTCTCTTACATTTAAACTATAATGGCTACAACAGAAATATGTGACTATTTGTGCAAGTCTGTTCATTTTATTATTCATTTTATTATGTTTTGTCTCAGTTTAGGTTTTTCATTTGTCAATGATGGGGTTTTTTTACCTTTTTCTTAAGTAAGCTTTTTAGTGACTTTAGGATTTGATACCAGTTTGTTTTTATTACATTATTTTTCTCAGGTCATGCACAGATTGTCCATCTCTTACTAGAAAGAAATAAGTTTGGAACTATCCCATCTGATAGTCAAGGTGCAACACCCCTACATTATGCAGCACAGAGCAACTTTGCTGTAAGTAGAACATACCCTAAATGTGAAGTAAACATATTTTGCTGAAATCTTTATAGTTTAGCAGAGTGTTTGAGTTGTTTTTGAAATCATATAAACACAGTGTTGTTGGCATGAGTTAATTCAGAGTTCTCCTATGTAATCTGATACCAATGTGGTTGATTTCAAACTATTAAAGATAGATGTACAAAAACTAACTTTCTTTACAAAAAAGGCCCTTTGAGCTGTATGTTTGCATCACAAAATACGATAGTCATTCAGTTACTTCAACAGAAAGCAGAATGGCACCTACTATTTCACAGTGCTTTCAGGTTTTAGGGCTCATTATAATGAAGTCTAAGCAGTTATGAGATATCTAGAGTAAGATGACCTGTAGGAATATTTGCACAGCTGCTGCAGGACCAGTCAAACCAGTCTTTGCATTCAAGAAGGTAATTAATTTATGAATATTTGGCATTATGAATGAACTGTTGTCTCATGAAGCACAGCTAAAGAGTTGAGTGCCTTTTGTCATAATTCTTCAGGAACACTGTATTTTTAAAATTTTTAGAAATATTTTTTAAACTTGGAAAACAAAGAACATTGGTTTCTCAGACAGCTTAATTTTTATACTTTGGTATAATAGGTAATTTTTTTTTTCCAGAGCAAGATCAGATACAGTACAGCCAAGTATAAAACTCAGCACTTCACTGATTGCCAGTCACAGATGTTGCAGAAGTAGTTCTCAAGCACTGGAAATTAAGAAAGCTTTTCTTAAGCTCCTTTTTCTCTCATAGTTTTCATACTCTCCCTTAATAGAAAGAGTTATTTAGTGTCTAATTAATGTAATAATTACATAGTCCACATTGCAACATTTTCTTAGCAGGGATAATAATTTGTGTCTTTCTTACATACCTACATGTTAACAAGGAAAAAAAAGAAGGAGAATTTAAATGCCCCTGAGAACAATTCAAGTTAACAAATCTAGAAATAGTATTGAAAGAGGGAACAGAACAATCAATAGTTTTGCTCCCAAATGAGTTTTGGGATGTTGGTGGCATTTTTCTGGAGATGGTCTTACTAAGACCATCAAAATGTTTTTTAAATTCAGACTTTTATTGAAACATATTTCTCTGTGTAATCTTCACTTTAGAGAATTTTTTGTTGATGCTGATTTTTGTTGATTTAGGGCTGTGTACAATTTGAGCCTAACACATTTAAAATATTTGTGTTGTAAAAGCCTTTCTTTCATGTTTGAGTTAAACTCATAGAAAAAAAATATTTACTAACTGGTGATTATCTCCACATTCTTTTATCTTGTTTTTTTTATTTTATTCTTTTCTATATTGATGTATTCCTAAAAAGATTTTTCATACTGGTTTTCTTTGCCTGGGCTTGATTCAGTTAAATGAAACATCTTCATTATGCTGCTGCCTTTTGATCCCATCAGCCAGCCAAATTGTGATATCATCTGTGTTTTAAGGGGAAGTGAAGTACATGGTGGAATCAGACATTCTTTTGTAATCTTCTGTACTTACAATGAATGTACTGTTTCCCATCTTACGTGAAAAATCACACAGGAGAGTTTCATTCAGATCTGCAAGCCTCTTTTAGCTGGTGATGTACTCAACAGCCCCTGCCTAAATTATGTCTGGAGTCTGTTTTCACCAATCCAGTTGTTTTTGAGCACCACTGTTTGCCTTTTTGTCTCCTTTACATGCATATCATCGAGTAATTCCCACCACTGCACTCCATATACATGGTCAAACTACTGAGTGGAGATACATTCATGTTTGTTCTGACAGTAGCATCTCTATGCTCATGGTTTGAGAGCCACATTGTTCTATTCAGTCTCCCTAGTTTTAGGTGTAGTTTTTCTCAGGTAAAATGTGATGTTTCTTAGTCCCTAACAAGAAGAAAGTTTGTATAATATGACATTTTTAGTTTTTTTGAAGAATGAAGAGATTTAGCCAGCACTTAATTTATGTGAAGCATTTGTTCCCTAAGACTAACTTATCTCCATTTACTGTAGACAGGAAAAGTTCTAGAAGAAAAGACATCACCCAATATAACACCCAAATTTAGATGTCTTGGGTATCCCAAGGAGGTCCCAAGAAACGCTGCTATTTAAAATTTTGAACTTCATGTGTGAAGGAAGATCAGAAAATCTATATTTCCAGATCACAGAATATTCTGAGTGGGAAGGGACCCACAAGGATCATCAATTCCAGCTCTTAAGTGAATGGCCCAAACAGGGATTGAACCCAGGTGTTATTAATACCACACTCTAACCAACTGAGCTAAGATGCTCCCTTCATATTGATTTTAGTATGCAGGACTAAATTTTTATTTCCTGAATTTTCCCAGAGGTGTTGAAAACAGTGTACTTTTCTTTCATGTATTTATACAGATTGATCTGTAAATGAAATGTGGATACCCCTGTCTTATTTTTAAATATTCAAAAATAATATGTAGTATTTTTCAGTTTCCTGATAGCACAGAATTATATGTTTCATGTTTAGCTCTCTCCTTTACTGTTATTTTTCAGATTTGTTGTTTTTTATGTTGTTTCCTCCACTTTTTTAGTAGTTTTAGAACACATGTAATCTTTCATATAATACATGTAGAAATAAATTGATTGATACTTCTATTTCCTGATTTGTTAGTTATCCTGGTGTAATTTAATTTTGTTTTGTTTTCAAGTTGTGGTAACTTCATTTTGGAAAATAATGCTTATAGTACTGTGGGATTTTCTTCTACTTTTTCCAATTAAAAAGCTGTAGGAAAGAAAGAGTCATTGAAGAAGCGTTGCTTTGCCAAAACTTAGCGGAAAAATAAAATATTTGTATTTTTTAGAATGTTTGCCTCAGCACTGAAGAAGTGCAGCCTTTGCAGTGCTTTTCACTCAGCAGGATTTCCAGCAGGGCAGAGCCCTGGGAGGGTGCTGAGTTTCTGGCCTAATGAGAGGCTGTTTGTGTCTGAGGTGTGGTGGTGGTCAGTGTGAGAACACGGAGATATAAACTCGTGCTGGGTTTGTGTGGAAAGCTTTGTGCTTCCATCTCTCCCTGCTTCTGGCTGGACCTTTTCACAATAAACTGCTAGTTCAGACCTAAGTTCACAAAGCTGTGAGGATCCTAGATCAGTAGCATAAGATAAATGAGACATTTCCTATTTCTTTAGAGGGATGAAATAGTAGGTAGTAGTGAAAAAACAAATCCAAATTGATCAATGGTACTTAAGCATTCAAACACTTTCATGATTAAAATAATTTAGTTCATTCTAGCCAGGAAATTCTTGTCCTGCCAAGAGTAGGGGGGTAGCTATTGAGGGGTCACACAGAGGAAAGGCTAAGATAGTATTAATAATAAAATATAAATACAAAATAATGAAATCTGGGTTTTTTTTCAGGTTTTTATTGGCTAGCCTACCAGTGACTCATATCAAATATTTCCCAGCTGTTACATACATGGCCTTTTAAGGCATTAGATAGAAAAGGGAAAATCTTCCTTTTTAGTAGTTTTCTAATAGTTGTGATTTTCTCTCCCTTCCTTTCCTGGGTGACTCATTAAGAATCTAGCAGCAGGTTAAACAGTGGGCTTGTTTGCTGACAGCTTAACACAAACACAGCATTTAAAGAAATAATTATTTTTTTCCTTAATTTGAAATTTTAGTTTAACAGTTACAGTGGAAAGGCTGGACTCAGGTGTAAAGATTTCCTTAATATTTACTGAAATATAGTATTTCAGTAATTAGTAACCTGATTATGTTATTAAACACGAGGAAGTACGTCTATGTTGACGGGTCCTTTTTTCTTAACAGTCAAAATATTAGAGAACAACAAAGCAAAATATTTGCATGTGCAATTGTATAATTGGAGAGAAAAAAAATATATTGGGAAAATATTTTGAAAGAACATTATTTTCAGGTTTAGGTTGGACATCAGAAGGAGTCCCATCACAGACAGGCTGATGGAATGTTGGAATGGGGTGCTCAGGGAAGTGGTGGAGTCCCTGTAGGTATTTAAGGAAAGATTGGATGTGGCACTCAGTGCCATGGTCTGGTTGACACAGTGGTATTGGGTCATAGGTTAGACTCAATGATCTCAGAGGTCTTTTCCAGCCTAAAGGATTCTGTAATTTTTTCATCACAGCATTACTGTCATGTATGGATAAACCCATGATATTTTTCCCATCGCTTTCTTCACAGAGACTACAGTGTCTTCTGCTTCCTTGTGTCGAACACATCATATTTGACACAAAAAAGAAAAAAGTGTTAAATGACACTGTTAAACTCATAGTTAAGGGTGCACTATGATCATTGGTGAGGGAAAAGGCATAGCAGAAGATGCAGTGTTCCTGTTGAGCAGTTACTCTTTATGAACATAAAAGGAAAAATGAATTGATTTGCTTCATAAACAGCTACATGAGACAATGGTTTCTTGTTGTTGCAGATTCCTTTTAATGTTAATTTCAACAGTATGTCTTTTCAGGAAACAGTTGAAGTATTTTTGAAGCATCCTTCTGTAAAAGATGACTCAGATCTTGAGGGAAGAACGTCCTTCATGTGGGCAGCTGGCAAAGGCAGTGATGATGTCATTAGGACTATGCTGACTTTAAAATTGGATATTGATATCAATATGACGGACAAATACGCCGGCACAGGTAAGATGCTTTACAGTAAAGAGCCACTGCATGTTTCCAATCTGTGTGATTTCCACCAAGTGGAAATATTGATAGAATCTGTATTAATGTTTTTCTGAATGTGTACTTCAATCCTGAAAACATTTCTGCATTATCGTAATTATACGTGTCAGTCAAGTCTTTGCCTTATTGTGGGAAAGAAACAAATCTTTTCTGCACAGATTGGAACAGTTAATTTGAAATGTAGAAAGAAGAAATGTACTGCAATGCTATTTAGTTAGCTCTGTAATCCTGTGAAAGGAAGAGCTGTTCTGTAATATGAAAAATAACATGAAACATAGTTGCATACAAAGCTCTTCCTGAAAATGCCTGTTCAAAAATTTATTTAACAGTACACAAATACTTAGAAACAATATGGAGCAAACTAACCACTGAAGTAGCTAAATTATCATGAAAATCATTCTATAGTTATTTTTAAAATTTTTAAAGATAGTGAAAAAAAGATTAGGTCTGTTGCACTTCTGTTGTGCAAACAAGAGATCAAACTTGATATCCCCCAAATTTATCATCTTGTTATCTGCCTGAAACAAAAGTAGGCAACACAGTGCTTCAGAATTCAAGTGTGCAAGTAATGAAATACAGAATTTCCTGTAGTAACTATGAATTTATCTCCTTTAGGGATTTTTTTTTTGGTGGAAATATTATACCTATGCAATGCTTTCAACAAAAACAGAATAACAGTTTTGACAGGTGAGAGAGACAGGTTTGAAGTGTTTATGTATTCAGTAGCGTTGGAAACTTAGGTAGAGTTGTATAGTATGCTGATGGCATCTGAGTGAAAAATCAGGAAAATATGGATATATTTGGTATAAATTTGGAGGGGTTTGATAGCAGGGATGCAGGGTAAACTGTGTGTAGAGAGATCAGGAACTACAATACCAGATACAGTCACAGAGTTAGAAGTGCAAAATATATATGTCAGGGTTGTGTTCAGGATTTGAAACTTAGTATGCATCAATATTGAATTTTTAAAGTTTCCTTTGATTATATGCTGGATCTTAACAAAAAGTAATTTGCAGTTAACATAAAATCTTGTTTAAATATCTAAATTATTGTTTTTCTTACAATGTAACACACACTAAATACATTGGTCTTTCCAAGTTGTGATAGTTTGAAATTTTTGAGTGTAGGAAATCGTGCAACAAATAAAATCTCAGTCTTCATGTTTGATTACAGTACAAACTAAATATTCTAAAAGTTTGGTGTTATTTCATCTTTTATCAGTCTCACCTACACTTGCTACTTCATGACAGTTCCCTTTCAAATAGCTCTCAGTATTTGCTTCAGACCTTAAGGTGCAGCAATGTTGTTGTTACTGTGCAAACCTCCTTACAAAGGGTTTTTTTTCTTTGCAGGCAGTAATCAGTAATCACATACTGTGTTTGTGAAATTACTCAGGTGTGGATTTCATGCTTGAATAATTCAGGTGGTTGGCTTTATTATCTTTCAGTCTTAAACCTTTCCTAGCGGTGATATGTAATCACCTTTTAATCTCGGTTTCCTTGGAGGGCTTTTAATCCAAGGAAATGAATGGATTTTCCATTTGCTTGGGAGTGCCGCAGTGTAGAGCTCAGGAGCAGCCTGGAAGTGGGGAGCTGTGCTGCCGAGCAGCCCGAGCTGCACCATTGTGCCAGCGAGCGCATAGCATGGGCTTTGTTGTAGCCAGCTCTGAACAGGAAAGGAAGCCCACCACTAAATCACTTTCTGATTTATTTTCTTAAATCATTCCCAAGTATTCGTGAGGGAGAAGCAGTGTTGCGTTGGGACAGGAAACTGTGCGCTGATAGAAAATAGCGCGCATGCCTCCGTGCCTGGGATACAGTTGCTGAGCAGAGTTCAAGGCTGTGTTTTTCTGACTTTTGTGTGCACACTCGGTTCAGCTCGGTTGTAATGTTGCGTTAACGCAGCCTTTTGCATTTACTCAAAAAGAGCAAGCTCTCCATTGAGCTCTGCTAGAACATCCAGACTCTGGGCATTGTGTAGGAGAATGACACCAAGGGAAAGGAATTTCCCTCCTCTCAGAGATCCGCGCTGCAGGAGCAGTACAGGGGCAGCTTTATAGCTCTGCCGTCACTGCGCACAATGGAGAGGGCTCTGTCTGTCGGCTGAACAAAGGGCCCATTGTCACCAGCTGGCTGAAGAATCTCTTCAGTCACCGTGACTCCATCACAGAAAATTTGGCTTACAAGAAAATATTGAGCACAAAGTGCGAAACAAGATGCCTGCGTCAGAATGAGTGATAGGGGGGAAGAACTGGCCAAGCTGACACAGCAGCTCTTTTTCTATTGTATTGTTACACACACCCCATGTATCATCTGATGGAGTGGTTTACTGCCTCTGGTTTCATAAGGAATTCAGGACAAAAACCAGAACCTAGAGTTTATTGTGAGGTCAGACCACGGAAAGCAGGCCCATCCAAATGTAGGAGCGGCAGGGATCTCATGGCTGTCCAATTCCTACTGGTAGCCACCCACTCGCAGGGGCTGCTGCTCAGGCGCTCCCTGCTCACCCGCGCAAGGAGCTCTGCTGCGCCTGCAGGCTGCTGCACTCGGACTTAAATCATGTCCTCTCAAAGGCACGATTTCCATTTTCACTCCTCACAGTGTCTCTGGCTCTGACCCCAGTGCTTAGCCCGTGTCACAATGTTACTGTCACTTATTTTGTGACTGTTTTAAGTCGCAAGACTGTTTTAACCCAGCACACCAGGTGGATTCGGGTCAATGACGGCATGAACAACCTGAGCATTTCAGTAGGGCCTGTGTAACAGGTTGTGCTGGGTTACTGTCTCATAATACTGGTTGTCTCATAATACTGCTGGCAAATACAAAAATGCTGGTTTTATATTCTGCCTGTGGTTCAAGAAGCTGCTCCTTCTAATGCTGGTCTTTGTGGTGTGTGTTTCTGTATAATGCCTCTGCTGGATCCTGACTCTCTCTTAACACTGAAGAAATGTGGACCTGTAGGTAGTGTTTACAGCCCCACATTTTGCTTACATGAGCAAGATTCGGTTCTCAGTAAGCATGAATGTTTCTGAAATTTCATGGGGAAATATGAATTCACTTTATTAAGTGAACACTTATAAACCACACAATTTTGTGGTTTTATTCTATATTATTTTGATTTAATTGTCTGTAATATATTCTACATTTAATTCAGCATGAGAATGTAGATTGTCTGATTTGACTGCTAACTGTTGGAAATAACCCAAAGCATTTTGAAGTCAAACTGTAAGTGGAGCCACCAGTACATGTGTTCATTGGTTTGAAATCTCATTGCTCTGTGCAGTTCTTCTTTCCTTCAAAAAGAGCCATGAACTGGTCATCCACAGCTCTCGCTGACAGTGCCTGCAGGATGCTGTGTTAGGCAATAGCAACTCCAGTTACAGGGCACCACATCTTTACCTGAGTTCTGAAGTATCTGAAGTAGCAGCATCTGGTTTTTCTGCAATCTTTTTCTTGAGGAAAACAGGGAGACAGAGATACTGTGCAAGATATGATGGTCTTGCTACATATTTCCGTATAAAATTTTCTCCAAGTAGTTCCGAAACAAAAGCAGGAGGCAAGGAGGAGTAGGAACAGCTGGGTGGTTTTCTGAAGTTAGTTTTAATTGAGACAACTTTGCTTACTTGAAAGAAAAAAGTCATTTTCAGGAAAGCGTTGAAGAAATAATGAAAGCTTTCTTTCACTGATGATGAGCAATCTCAGAAATGCCACAAAGCAGAGGCAGAAGTAAATCATGTTATGTTCCCTTTATCAGAAGCTGCTATTCTTCCACAAATCCTCACTATAAGCGAATCTTGGTGGTGTTAAATGTAAAATTTCTATTTGTGCAAGTTAGAAACATGTTTCAGGGCTGATAGTTTTTCTGCTTGTTGCTTGTATGGCAAGAAAGTGTTGTTACATCATCACTTCTTCAGTTTCTTGAGGTTGAAAAGTACTTTTTCCACCAAAGTTGTTGTAATTAGTTTTTATTTTGACTGTTCTAATTGTGGACCTCTAAAGCTCATGGTATTGTGGTTTCTTTTTCCCTACTCCTTTATTCTTCCAGCCTTACACGCTGCTGCCCTTTCTGGCCACGTCAGCACAGTGAAGCTGCTGCTGGAGCACAAGGCACAGGTGGATGCCCTGGATGTGATGAAACACACCCCACTCTTCAGAGCCTGTGAGATGGGTCACAAGGAGGTGATTCAAACACTCATCAAAGGTCAGCTCTCAGGGCTTTCCAAACCTGTTCAGGAGTTCTGCTGCTGCCTCCTGTGGGGACGGGAAATAAACAACTGAGCAGGAGGTGGGGTAGGAAATTGCTTCCCTAAAGCAGGTTTTGTTTGTAAATTCCCCTTGTGAATCTAAAAGATTATCAGGGTTGTGCAAAAATGGCTAGAAGTGTTAAATACAAAACTTCCATAACTGGGATTGTTCTTTTCAAAGCTCATTTCTGCCCAAGCCTTTGCAAGTACATTCTAGTCGCTCAAACCAACTCTTCCCCCAGCAAGTCCTTCCTTTCTTTTGTTTTTGTTTGGGTTTTTTTCCCCAGTAAATAAGACGAAATTAAGCTTTCTTCACTTTTGTGAAAAACCATTTTTAGGGTTCTTTGAAGACTTTTTGAGTGAGTCTTTTTTTTTTTTTTAATGTAGATAGATATCAAAAGTCCTAATCATTAATATTTTCTTCTGGTTGGTTTTTAAAAACAGTATTTTGTTTGTAGACAGAAGTAGGATTTAACAAAGTACACAGTTCTAGATAACTAAAATATCTGCTGAAGGGTAAGACGTGCAGTGAAAGAACAGTGGCATCTCAGATGCAAAATTCTGTCATTTTAGCTTCCCAGAAACATCTCCCTCCTGCTTCAGACATTATCTCACCTATGGATAAATGAAGTATCCAGGCTAAATTTTACAAGTTTTCTATCAACCAGCCTTTCTTACTGAAAAGTGTTTTTCCTTCCATGACCTGCTGGGCACGTTTTAACCTCCTGTTATTCTCTTCCCCCCCCCCCCATCCCCATGCCATTTAGCTTTTGTAGATGTAAGAAATTTGTCTATCAGAATCTCAATTGTGTTTAATTAAATATTTTATGATGTAGAGAGTCATTGTTGCTGGTTGGTTCAAGTTACTGTATTTGTGGAGTTTTACTTCTGTACAGAATTTTTACATCTTTCAATAACATATAGAGACATAAATTATTTGCATAAAAGAGTCCTAGCATGCTTGAATTTAAAAAATAAGCTTATTTTAAAAATTATTATTACATTGTGATTATTTTATCTTGTCTGCTTTAGAGATTTAAAGACATCTAATCTGAAATCTAATTTTTAGAAGCTATTTTGTTGTTAAGAAAGAAAGGTTCTACTGAAAATTCATAGACCTAAAGCAAATAAAATAGGTTTTTCATAGGCAATTGATAAGTCTGGATTTTCTAAAGCATATTAGAGGATAGTCAGAAGATGATAAAAAAGTTAGATGTCTGACCTTCTTTGAAACTGTTTCATTCCAAATGAATTTTGATTTAAGTTTTAGGATTTGAGTAACAAAATTGAAGTTGTTTTCTGAAATACTTCTCTAAATTGTCAGTTTATGAAACACGTTCTAGTTGTACATAAACTCACTCTTTTCTTAGCATTCAATGGTATTTTGTTTTTGTTCTCAAAAATGTATGTTTCTACAGGAGGAGCAAGAGTAGATTTGGTTGACCAGGATGGGCACTCACCCCTTCATTGGGCAGCCCTGGGAGGAAATGCTGACGTGTGCCAAATCCTGATAGAAAATAAAATCAACCCCAATGTGCAGGATTATGCAGGTAGAACACCTCTGCAGTGTGCAGCTTATGGAGGCTACATCAACTGCATGGTGGTGTTGCTGGAAAACAATGCAGATCCAAATATTCAGGATAAAGAGGTATGTTGTTGTTCTTCACTGAGGTATATCATTAACTTTAGAATAACCATAAATCAAAACATTTTTCTTTTCTTCAAAGTAATTCTCTTTTCCAGGACAGAGAAACATCTGTGCTGCTGTTTGTCACAAAAGGAAATGCATCCTGATGTCATTTTCCCTAAGCCTTCACTTCTAAAATTTCAAAAGAAAAGCAGTATTTGAATATATAGTATGAAGATTGGTATTCTTCCAGACCACTTTTGATTTTTCCTCATTGAAGTGTGATCATATGAGGAGTCATCTTAATGATCTGATTTCTTCTATAATTCCCTATTAACAGCTGATATGGGAATGTGATTTTAGTCTGTTCTCCAGAATAGAGAGAGAGAGCAAGTAAGAAAGTAAGGTACTGCAAGTGAGATTGCACAATAACTGCTTCAATTGCTTGTCCACATTAAGTACCCACATATGTATCACTCTTCCAGGTGAAAAAAAAAAAGAACCTGATTGGTTTATTTGTTCTTTTGTGCCATTATTCAGGCAGTAATTGAAATTAGGAGCCAGAATAATTGTGCAACCTATAACAGATTTCTTTGTTATATGACATAATTTCTCAGAAGTCAGTAGAACCTCGTCAGTCAAAAGAGCTTCACCCAATTTATTGAAGTTTTCTGTAGCTATTTGTCGTAGGGCATAGATAATTCCAGGTAATGGAAATGTGCTTTTCATTATGAGTTCTACAGAGCATGCTGTACATCTTTTGCAAAGAAAGCAACTATAAGGCTTTCAGTTGCTTTTCAGCTGTTTTAGATGAAAAAGCACTGGTGTTGAAATCTTGTTAAAAAAAATCCATTTTTTAAGTGTTGTGTTCTTTTTATTTTAACAAGGAAGTTTATTTAGAAGAACTGTTTGTTCTTCATGTCCAGAAAAGCATTGAATTACACTGTGATTTATGACTTTAATTGTGACATGGCAGAGTTTGGGGGTAATGTTTATTTTTGTTCTGTTCTATTGTTTTACAGGGCAGAACTGCCCTGCACTGGCTCTGTAACAACGGCTACCTTGATGCTATAAAGCTGCTGCTGGGCTTTGATGCTTTCCCCAATCACATGGAGAACAGTGAGGAGAGGTACTGCTTGTCTCAAGGCGTTATTTTGTAATTGTGCCAAGGTGCTGCCTTCTCTTTAAATGTTAAATGTTCTGATCCTGCAGGAGAATCCTCATCTTGTATCTCACAGGAGTGCTGTAACCCAGGGCTTCAGTGTAAGCAGCTTTTCTTCTGATGTGAAAGTTCCCTTCTTTAACTAAAACATTGCAACTTTTATACTTCTGAACCATCTTCCGGAAGTATTTATTCATTGTAGTCTTGTTACACATATTAAAGACCTGGTGGCTACCTGTATTCTAAAGGCCTGGTTTAAAAAAGAAAAAGTCTCCTATAATCATAAAGAGACAGCACATTTGCATCTCTTTTCTTTGTCTTTCATTGACATATAAATAATAGATTTTTAAAAGCGATTTGGGTTGTGGAGTTTGAATTAGTCACCTGACCATGAAGGTAATTACTATTAGCAGAAATTTCTAATGCCTTTTTTAGAGTAGATGACCTCCTCATAATTATAAGATTATGAACAGCATGGCCTATAAATTTGAATATTTCAGCATTTTAAATAACTTAAGGCTTTTGCAACCTCATATTTCAATTTGAGACTTCTGTACTTAACCCCATGTTTTAATTGCTTCCTTCCCCTATCATTTTTCTTTCATTCTCCACTCTAAAACACTCAGATCTCTCTTCCTTTTCTGTTCTTTTCTTATTTTTTCTTGAGAAACACAAATGAAAGTATAACTAGTTTCTAATTAAGTAGTGTCAAGGCTCTCTTTAGTAATTTTTGATAGAAAATTGAATAAACAGTTTTAATTAAATTACTTTTAATAAGATTAAAAGCCACAATTTTGCCAGATTGGAGACTGCTGTTATCCTTACTTTGTAGAAATGTACTCCTGATGCTCAAATGTCAAGAAAAGACCTTAGCTGTGGTTTATCACAGTCATTCAGATAGTATACATTTTTGTTTCCTTTCTGGAATTAATATACATTTAGTGTGTAAGTCTAGATTATTCAAAATACAACTAACAATATCCCAAATGTCTGCTGATAAGCACTAGTGCATGTTCAGAACAAAAGAGATCCCCAATATTTCCAGATGGATCAATCTTTAAATATAATTCTCCTAAAATACATATAAAAATTGCATGCTTGCATCTTATAAAAATATCTACAAACTTTGTGTCATTTTTAATAGATTGAAAGTTTGGAAAGTGGAAAATCAAGTTGAGTGTTGCAAGAGAGAGGAAACATAACCTCATGGATATGGTTCACCTGTAATTGGATGAAATTGGTTTTTAACCAGTAACAATTTCACTATGTAGTGGCTTTTTTCCCCCCAAATATTCCCATAGGAAAAAAGCTTCCCTTCTTTACTTTCTTAGAGTGTAGTATGAGATACCAGTTAAAATTCAAACAAAGTGCTTATAACTGAAAGATTAGAGAAGAGATAGAGCTGAGATTGCATCGAGAATTTTAAGGTCTCTGCTTGCTTGCCAGATATGTGATCAAGTGCTAATCTGGAGGGTATTGGGTTTGTTGTTCTTTGCAAATTTATTTTGTAATCCAGCTTAATGTCCTGGGTGCATCAAGCTGCTGCTTGACCACCTTCATATTAAATTGCCTATAACAGCTGATGGCTGATGTCTTCATGTGCTTTCCTGTGAAGCCAGCTTGATTTAAAAGCTATCTGCTTTAGAGAGAGCCAAAGGAAAAGGAAATTTACATCAGGCTTTGAACTGACACAAGAGATGTCAGTATGTACAGACACCACAGTGTGTTGTGTACAAATACAACAGTATGTTAGTGTCCAGTCGTAAAAACCCCTCATCAGATTTGATTGAAGCAATTTTTTTACTTTCAAAGGTAGCTTGGATGGAGTTAGAGAATCCACGTTTAAAAATATGGATCTTCATGACTGCTAAAGTAAACTTCATAAAGTTTACTTTAGTATCTTTTGTGTCTTTAAAGTATTCAAAATTAGGAATACTTTAAAAATCTGTTTTTCTGAAATAACGTTCCTTCTGAAGTTCTCATTTCTGGGTTATCCAAAATCTGTATCTCTTTAAATGCTATCAGCAGCACACCTTGACATCCAAATTTTCATGTTATGCCACTGTCTTTATTCCTGCAGACACTTCAGTTCAGATGCTGTTTATCCTTCCATCAAGCCATTGCTGTGTGGCAGGTCCAATTGTGCTTTCTGTCTGTTTTTCTTTGCTCACCAGCACTGTGTCCCAGCAAGTTACCATCAGCAAGATCCCTAATTTTCACAATCACATGCCTTGACACTTGCTATTGGCTAGTCCTATGTTACATGGTCTTGATTATGGTTTGTGACTGATAATTTTCAGTCACTGAATGTCTTTCCCTGAAGTTTCAGTGTTGGTGAGGGAGAGAGATTTTGCTCCCATTTAGACAGTGGGAAATTTAGGAATTATTTTGAAAAAAGCCTAGGCGTCTTTGTTAGCTACCATTAAAACCAAAGCAATTTAATATTTTTACACCTGTGTCCATTTGAAAATAGAATTAAGTTTTCCTAGTACCTTAAAGAAGATGCTATCCTTCTATATGGATCTAATCCTGCTGCTCTGTCAGTCATAGTGTCTTCAGTCAATGTTATAGAAGCTAAGCCAGATTTGACAGTAGCTTTCTAGAACTTAAATGCAAATGGACATAACACAAAAATGTTTTAACTTTTTATATTTCTATATGAAAACTTCAATAACACATTTTAAAGACTGCTTTCCTAAAGCAGTTAATGCTGTGGATGGGGCTTTGGGAGATTTAGTCCAAACACTTCAGGTTCCCCTCTTCCCCCTTCCATATTAGGAGACCAAAATAAGCTTTAAACATAACCATAGTGTGTAGTATGAATAGCAAAATAATGCCTAAAAAGATGAGAAAAACAGCCTACTGAAACAGTGCTTAATCTGTCTTCATGCTAGAAGTTGCTTTTTATGAAATGAGGATGAAGAAACATTATAGCTAGAATTCTAGATCAATAGTAATTGTTGTGGTTTTTATTTTTTTAGATATACTCCACTTGATTATGCCTTGCTTGGTGAGCACCACGAAGTGATTCAGTTCATGTTAGAACATGGGGCTCTGTCCATAGCTGCCATTCAGGATATTGCTGCTTTCAAAATCCAGGCTGTCTACAAAGGATACAAAGTTAGAAAGGCTTTTCAAGAGAGGAAGAATCTTCTAATGAAACATGAACAGCTGAGAAAAGATGCTGCTGCCAAGTAAGTCTGAGACTTGAAACCTACTCCAGCACATAGACATTTGTTGTAAGTTTGTATTTATCTATGCATGATTTTTTTCTGTTGCTCATCTGTTTTTGTTCCTCTTGGTAAAATTAATGAAACTAAAGGAAGCATATAACTTCCATATAACCATAGACAGATGGAAGTTATTTTCCATATAATCCCAGTTTAAATAACAAACTTCAAATAATATACCATAGCAAGGCAAAATACCAAAAGCTGAGGAAATAGCATGTTAGTGTCCATGAATCTTTGCCTGATATTCTGTATGATAAAATGACTTGGAAAACATTTTTCACTTTAGGTAGTGAAAAATCATTATTTGCCTGTTCTGTTTTGAACAGAAATTAATCACTAGTTGAGGAGAAAAACCCAAAAGCAAAACAGGGAAAGCCTGGTTTAGTAAGGCTTAACTCTATGTTTCTCTAGCAACCTGAATTCCTGGTTTCTATTTGAAACTTCATTTTGGGCCTTATTCTCTGCACTTAAATTTTCTGGTCTTGAATTAGAGAGATCCTATGAATTGGTTATATTGAATTACAGCTACCTAACATATGCAATTCAAATTGTTGTCAGCAAGATGTGTAGGTTCTGGCTGAGTTTCAGCCCAATTTAAATGTGGTGATGGTAGCACGGTGGTGGAGTTCTAAAATCAGAAGGTACATAAATGATTATCACAACACATTGCTTCCTTGGAGTTTATCCTTAAGATTCTTAGTATGAAATTAGCACCTGGTTCTCTTGAAGAAATCTGATTCTGAATGAAAAAACATAACAGTCTGAAAAGATTTCTGCATGATTTGGGAGTATTATTTTGATAAAAAGAGATCATATAAAAAAACCCCATGATATAATTATTGTACCTAGAGGTATTTTTGCTGCATCTGTGTATCACAAATTCAACTGCACTCCACTCTGTATCAAATTTGGAAGTTTGATGTTCTGCATAATTGGCCAGTCAGACCAGACCTTCATTGGGTGTAATTGCTGCTACTATAAAACAATTATTATTCCCCAGGAAGAGCCAAAGCTATAGAAACACCAGATAACTCATGTCTTGCTCACATCTCTACATTCTGAAGTTGTAACCTGTAGCTCTCCTACTGTTTGCCTTTTCTGCTGAAATCAGTGCAAGTCAAAACTATGCACGGAGAAGCTGCCTTGAAAAATATTTATTTTTAATGTGGAGAGCTCTGCTTATTGCTGTGTGGTTACAAGTGACCTTACCAAATGAGGTAGTTTTATCCTTTGTAATGACAGTCATTTTTAGAAGAATCTCTGATCCACCATGTAGAAGAGTAAATGGAAAAGAATTGCCTCATGGAAATTTGGGGGTATTTTTATAATGGTTTTCCTTTGTGAGTTTTTGATGTAGTTTCTGAAACTTACTTAGCTGTTGTTGATTTGTTTGAAAGCAATAGAAACAAATTCTGTGTACCAAATACCATAAAAAGAGAATTACAGTACAATTGGAGTGTACAAGCAAATCAGGTTGTCACATAACAAATTTTATTTAATTGCAGTTTTATGGTCTGTAATAAACTGAAGGGGACATTATGTTGTCATCATTCTACGTCCCCATCTGTGCATTCCACAGCTGAAATTGGCCAGGGTGTTCCTGCATACAGAAAACTATTATCCCTACTGGTGTTTAAAAATCTGCTCTCCAGATAAAAGGAGACATAATGTGGGGATCCAGAGTGATGGTGAACTCCTAGACTGAAGATACATCCCCTCTCCCCAGCTATGTCAGTGTAGATATTTAAACTTGCTTTGTAATATGTTACTTTAGAGAGTCTCTCTAAGAAAAATCACTCCTAAATCTACTTGGGTTTAGATAGTCTGTTCTGGTTTTTTTTTTTCCTTTTTGCAGTAACAAAAAGTCACGCAGCATCTCATACCTGTATTATTTTCTGGTAAAATTACATTCACTGTATTTAAAGCCTATGAAATATTTCTATACAAACATCATCTCCCATGTTTTTCCTATATCAAAGAAATTGTATTTTTTAAAATGCAGTTTGATGAAGGCCAAAACAACATGCACACTGTTATGTCAGTGAGCAAAGAGACACACCAGGGGACCAGTATGGGTAAGCTGGGAATCCTTGACAGAGCTCAGATGTAAAAATGCAGTTCACAGAAGGCAGAGGCTGGGACAGACTGCAAAAGCAGAGTGTAGATGCATTGCTTGGGCATGTACATGGTGCCAGAAACACCAACACTCAAATGGAGTTGAGACTTTAACGAAATGTTCCAGGTTGCAAAGTGAGTTTGTGTTTCTACATTAATAAAAGTAGTAATACATTAGTAAAAGGCTGAGCAAGGAATGTCTGGGCTTGTTGCTGAATGGTGCATTTAGTGACAACAGACTCAGGTGTGGCAGCAGCACTCAATGCCTTCTGTTCCTCAGCCTGCCAGAAGATCTCCCAGGCCTCTTTCCTCAGGGAATTGGTTCAAGGAGGAGCAGAACTGCCAGCTGTGAATAAAGATTAAGGCAGGCTTGAGAGAACCCAGCCCAGACAACTCTATGGGACCAGGCTGGCTGCATCCAAGGGTGCAGAAGGAACTAACTGATGCCCTTAAAAGGTCACTTTCCAATGTCCTTGAAAGATCACAGAGACCAGGGAGAGTCCCCTATGATGGGAGGAAAGAAAATGTTGCACCCAGCTTCAAAAAAAAATCTGGGGAACTGTAGCCTGGTTGGTGTTTCTGGTCTCTGGGAAACTTTTAACAGGGGAATCTGGGGCAAGAGATTTTGTCTGGAAATAGAGAAATTCTTTCACCCTTGGGACAATCAATCAGTAGAACAACCCAAAGAGGTTGTATGGTCTCTGCTCATAAAGGTTTTCAAGACATAATTGGATAAAAACCTGAGCCACCCAATCTGACCCTGTTTTGAGCAGCCTGTTAGCCTTGCTGACTTCCTGAGATCCCTTCCATACTTTAAAAAGAGGATTTTGGTTTTCTTGTTGCAAAACCAGATATTTAAGGAAATAATATTTACGTGTTTAAAACATATTCAGAGAAAACTAATTTCCAATGTATTGAATTTTGAAAGGGGTGCATAATTAATTCCTCATTTGTTCACCTTCCCTTTCAATTTCTCAGGATGAGTTCTTGAATCCATACTTCTGTTTTTCGTTCTGGCCAGTTAAAGGAAACTGATTGAGAATGTGGATATGAAAGGGAAATGGATGAAAGTGAGTAAGTAGCTGATGATGTTTAGGAAGAGAAAAGCAGGAGGAAAATAAGCAGTTCAATTAAACAGCCTTCAGTAGATTTAGAAAAATGTTCTCATGCCAAGAGAGTACAAGTAGATTATGAGGTTTTTCAGAAGACTGGTGGTTAGCCCTGCATGCTGAGAAAAGATAGGGGAGTGTGGCAACAGAGAAAATAATGAGCTCTTCAGCAACCTGAAAAGGGAAAGCACATATTGGAAATTTGATGTAATTACTAAAATTGACAGTAATAAGAACATACAATGATAAAGCTAAACAAGCTGAGGTGCTAAATAAGAACTGACAAAGGGTGTGAGGTAGGTATCACAAAAAACCATTGTAAACATACTCATTGGAAAAGGAAGAGTAAAGAAACAGTTGGTGTCCATGAGAGATGCTAAGTAGACTGAACTGTTCTGTGGGATTTTTTTTATACTTCAGAAAAAATTACATCAAACCAACTCAATTTTCTTTTGTGTCTGAATAACAAGTTTTGTGGCCATGGAGAAACAGTAGCTGTCATTCAGACTTGCCTGAATCCTTCATACTTCCTCATGGGAAATTTCTCATTTGTCTCCTTTAAACTAAAAGTGTATATTGATGAATGTTGCTTATAAATCCATCATGAATTTGTATTTTCATTTAAGAAGTAAATTTGAATTTGAAAATAGCACCAAGATGCAGAACATTGTAAGCACATTGAAGACTAAATTAGAAATCAGAATGGTGGTAAAATACACACAAGAAATGACTGAGGAAAAAATAGGTACTTGGGTAAGAACTAATGGACTGCTCTACACATTTGGGGACACTCATCAACATAGGAATGCTGGACAGAAAATAACTGTTGTCTTAACATTTTTGTTAAGGACTATGAGTTTAAAAGATAGTTATAGATCAGAATCTGAACACATCATGAGTCAGTGGTATCATTCTTTTGAAAATAATCCTCATGCTAGATTGTGTAGCAGGAGATGCTGTTTATACAAGATGAAATATAACTGCTCATAGTCCAGAGAAAGCTCTACCAGTAATAGGATCATACCTGGAGATCTATTTTCAGTTGAGATTTTTTAAGCAAGTTTTTGGGGGTTTTTTGCAAGGATAACTTTAAAAGCACTCTCCTTTAAAATATCCTTCAGCGTGTAGATAAAAAAGTTAAGTTTCTATTTTTAACAGAATAGAAAAGGTTGAATTCATTTTAGCAGAATCAAAAATTCAAAACATCTCTGTGTCTTCACAAATGTGCATGTAAGGCTGAAACTGTTCCTTTCCATCTGCTAAAGGCTCAGTTTTCATTCTTTCATTTTTGCAACAAAATGCAAGCTTATGACCATTCAGGACAAAATTGTGTTGCATTTACAATGGAAAATGTTGGCCTGACAGCTCTGTTCTACTGTTGAGCTGTAGCTGTCTAACTTGTGAGGCCAGATTTGGATCCTGTTGGAGGATCTGGCTTGCCAGAACCTCGAGAATGACTGGGAGCCCTGAAGTTAGAATCCTGTCTTCTTCCTTCATTTGTTCATGAAACCTGGCCTCTCAAATTGGACAACAGTAACACTTGGAAATTTTAATTTCAAAGAGATCCTTCACTGTAATACAAACTGAATTTCTGATTAAATAAAGCAAAACACAAGGGGAGGGTCATATGTATTCAGGAGCCTATTCAACTAAGCTGTACTGTGACAATTGTAATGATGCTTTATGAATAGGGAGCTTTGAAATCCCTTCCCTTTATTCTTTCTTCAGTTTAATCTGAAAAATTAGCACACAGATAAAACCTTTAAAGAAAAAAACAACCTTCTTTACTTTTTGTTTTCTGGTCCTGTCTCATTTCAATAACTTTACAACTGGTACTGGTTGCTGAAGTTATTGTTTTGAGTCGATCTGCCCATCAGAGGAGTGCGGGTCACTCCAGCTCCATTGTGTATCACACAGCCCATCTCACACTTCCTTTTCTAATACCCTGAATGGAGGACATCGGTAACAGGCTGCCCATTCTTGTGAAGAATAGAAAATTACTATTCTGTGAATAGCAAGATCTGATTTATCAGCTCAAATGGCACAGTAATGGCAGTGAGATCCATACTGTACACAGTCCCAACATCCCCGCATAGTCCGGTTGTGGAATGCCAATATTAATGGAAAGCAGCCACTTTTTTTTCATGCCAGAGGGAATACTGACTCCCAGGCTGCTAGGAGTGTGGTTTTTTAGATCAATTAGCAGCTTTTTCAGGTGCAAAGTTCAATCAGCTTCTCCTGCAGAGCAGAGTTGATAAGATAGCACTGACAGATAAAGTTGGGGCTGCCGGCTGGCAGCTCGCGCTGCGGTGACACGCGCTGGCAGTGACACCGCGCACAGGAGCCGGGGCTGGCGTGCTGCATAACTCACCTGTCACACGCCGTGCTGGGAGGTGATGTGGCAACAGTCTGCACACTGTGTTGGAGCACTGGAAGCAAGTTAAAATACCAGGCAGCTACATGATACGGCATTTACCGCCTGTCCGTTCCAACAGGGAAAGTGTCACTTCATCCAGCAGCCAGGGCTTCATTTATAAAAACGAGTTCAGTGGGAGTAGGGATGTAACATTTGCCGTGTGCTGGTGGGTTTATTCTGCTTGGTAGGAACAAGAATTTAAAAGATGAAGTGCAGTGACAATTCACTATATTTCAAAATGGGCTGCAAAATTTTATTCAATGGATGCACCTTTCCTGAGTTTGTCCAAAATTCTCTTTTATGGCTACTGCATTAAGACATGCATGACTTATTTAATTTTGGAAATCCAAATGTTGCCATTGTAATTGGCATACTATGTGCCCACAAGTTTTTAATTCACATCTCATATTATCAGTATTTGTCATTTAAATGACATATAATGTTTCTCTAAAATTAATTATCCACCAATGAAAAATACATAGCAGCAAGTTAGTACCAGTAGCTAGTTGGTTTATAATTCTCTGTACTAACTGACACATTTAAGTACGAAAAAATAAATTTCAAAGATATTGTGTCTTTTGTTAAATTTTTTTGCTTTTCAAAGACAGTGCATTGCATTACTACTCACATGAAAATATTGCTCATTAGTAATTGCAAACACAGGTATTAGTGTCGTGATTCTTTTTAAAATCCTGCTTTTAATTTTTAATAAAACCTCCTAAATTTAGTTGTTTTCAATAAGTGAGTGTTTTAAGATCAGTCAAAACAACTACAACCTGAATGGGCAGCTGGCTGACAGGGACTTAACCTTCATCAGGCTGTAGCTGCAAGTCAGTTGTTGTTTTGGATCAAGTCAAGACATTTCAGTGCAATATGTGTCCTTTTCTCACCAAAAAATGTCAAATCAAGGATTTGTTCTGGCAGCATCAGATTTTTAGAGAGGAGTGTGTTCAAGTTAGATACGTGCTCCCAAGATTTAATCTTCAAAATTCTTATGGTATGGGCTGTAATTGCAGGAAACGTGAAGAGGAAAGCAAGAGGAAAGAAGCCAAGCTGCACAAAGGGGTGCAGAACGTGGAACAAAGCAAGTTTCAGGTACAACAGCATCCCACAAATCGGGAGAAGGCCACCAGTGTCCCAAGGTTGCCCAGCAAAGCAGCTGACACACAGAGCAAGAGGCTTCTGTCCCTCAGTGCTTCACAGGTCCAGCCAGGGAGAAACAGCAGAGGGTCACCTAAAGCTGGTCATGACAAAGGGACCCCAAAGGAGACCTGCCTGTCAGCAGAGCCTCAGAGTGGAGGTCATAAGATCAGGCAAGGTTTGTGATCTTTTAAAATTGTGCTGTTTATCTGCTTTGTCCACTTCTTGGGGGTATTTTATGTTTAGCACCCATTTTGTCCTGTGATTTCATATTCTTTCATCACTTGAGCAATTTGTGCAGTAGGGTAGAGTTAGATACAGATTCTTTTACTCTGGGTGAAATAGTGAAAAGCACCCGTACAGTGTCTTATGGTGTCTGTAAAAATACCTAGAATATGTGAAGACAGGCTGTGGGCAATTGTTCTATTAGTTACACCATTCAGAGAAAATAAGATTAAAGATATTTGACATATCTGTGGTGCTCATGAAGAATGTAAATGGAGAAATGGTAACTCTGCTTTTTAAGCTGGATTTATCCTCTCAATCCAACTGGTGTGTGAAAGAATGCTGTGCCTTTGTTAGGTATGCATTGTCTTTTTGTTACTGAAGTGGTGCCAGGAAAGTTGGTGGAACAAGGATCAAACCATGAAGTTGTACAGTCAGTTCTCATTAGGTGTTTTAATAAATCCTCTTGTGACCAAAACCCTAATGGACTTCACTGGTCATTTTATTGGAATTACATATAAATTTAGACCCCTTGGGCTGTGAAAATTGTGATTCAGTTGTTGAGTGTTTTCTGATCTGATTATCAAAAAGGTATCCTGTAAAGATATTACAAATATAGCATAATTTCATCAGGTTTTGGATGATCCAGATGATTTTCTGGGATGAAAGTATATTACGAGATCTCTTTCTTTTCTTTTTCCCCTCCTACCTACCCTGTAACATCCTATCTGTTATGTTTCATCGTCTCTGATCTATTTTTCATTCTCCTGTTAATTTCCAAGCAGAATGGAAGGTGGATGGAAGATGGGAAATTTTCAGTTTTGTACTCCAGTCTGGCTTCCAGGTCACCCTCACCAGAGTATTTAGAAGCAGTGATAATACAGCAGCAAGGGAGAAATAGGAAGGAATTCATAATTTCATTCAGGGTGTCAGGGGAAGTACTGAGAAGCCAAGTGCATTGGGTTGTCAGTGGGTTATCCCGTGCCAGCATACAGCATGGATAGAGCAGGAGTTTTTCAGGCATCCAGCTCAAATGTAATGTTAGAAAGAAAACCATTTGTACAACATAAAGCAAATGAAGGTGTTTGGGACTCTACTGTGACAGGCAATCACGTCCTTCTGATTCTTCCTGCTTGCATTTTTTTGTTCATTTAAGTGAATCCAAGTCTGCCCCAAAGGTAACTGAGCAAAACAATCAGAGAATAAATCACATTTTGCTGGATCAGAGACTGAATTTGTTTTCAATTTCTCTGTCTAAAGATTCATTGAGGAAATACATCAAAAGCAAATCAAGCTGTGTCCATTTCCAGTGTGGCAAAGCAAACGAGGGAGCAAAAGTTGAAGTGAAACCTCAGGTTGCGGCTGCTGCGGAGGCGGACGGAGAGAAGCACAAGGAGCACGCTGTGGACACAACGGATGCCTGTGCTCGGAGGAGCAGGAGGCTTTCTGCTCCTGCCTGTAGGGCTGCCAGTGCTGGGGAGAAGCTGAAGGACCCAAGTCAGCCTCCCTCTGGCAGGAGGGACCACGGTGAAGGAAGGGCTGTGCTCTTCTGCGGTGTTGGTTGTACCGGCGGAACGGCGCAGAACTCAAAGCAGGGTGAAGCTTCCTCCAAAGGCAAAAGGCACCAGCAGAAAGCCAGAAATAAAGAGGTGAATGATAAGAGATGTTCACCAGCTGGTTCTAGCAGACCAGGAAGTGCCAAACCAGTGTTTGTAAGCAGCAGAAATGACAGCCTGCATGCTGTAGAACAAACTGTCAAAGTGGGAAACAATGAAATGGCAAAAAAGGCCTCTCCATTATTGTCTGCTGAGGCAGAGCCTACCAGGACTGTGCCAAGAAACCCAATAGCATGTTCTGCTTCTGATGACCCTTTGAACTTGGAAAAAGCAGGCATAATTGGATCCAGAAATGCAGATGACCAATTATGTTCTGTTCCATGGCAAAGTACAAATATTGAACTAATCCCTTTAGAGATTCGAATGCAGATCATAGAAAAGGAAAGAAAAAGGAAAGAGCTTTTTAGGAAGAAGAACTACGCTGCCACAGTCATACAGAGGACATGGAGAAGGTAAGATTACTGCTTCAGGGGCTAAAGAGTGGGATGCAAGTGGATGTAAATGAAACTAGGCTTGTTGGAAATTGCTTTATTTAGCTTAGAATGTTGCCAGTGCTAAACGAGGCAGTTAAAAATCTTTCTCTACAATAATCCTTCTCCACACAAGGGGAAGTGGGTTCCAGTGGTGTAGAATTACATTAGTAATTACATAAAAAGTGCAAGGTAAGTGATGACTTTAATAATCAGAGAAATCATTAAACTTCTATTTCAAGCTCTGATATTTCTTTAGAGAGTGCAAATCAGTATTTGCCTAGACCTGGAGTTCAGTGATGTACTTGAAATTGTGCTCTGACCTAACATTTAACCAGATAATCAAACCACAGAATGTTTGGGAGCTTTGAGTGTTCATTGACAAAACTTAAAGGTAGCTTGAGTACCTTGATTAATCAGGAACAACTGCTCTACAGAAGAATGCTTTCCAGAGCATTATCCTGCTTTCATGAATGTGTGAGTTTCAGCCTCAGAAATGCAGTCATTCTACAAGTACATGCTCCTTAATATTTAATTTCTTATCAAAACAGGCAGAAAGAGTATGTAAGGGAAGTATATAATATGCAAGTTATTCTTATTTCTTGTTTTTATTTAAACTTTCTTTGATTTTACTGGATGCAGACAACTATAAATTGCATATGTTTACTAATATTCTTTCCAGGTTTCTCACTAATTTAACAGTTTCTCTGAGGGACTCTGAGTTGAAGATGTCCCTGGCTATGGCAGGGAGGGTGGATGAGATGGTCTTTAAAAATCCCTTCCAACCTAAACCACTCTGTGGTTTGTGACTCCATGCCATATTCCTCTGAACTGTGAGGCAAAGCAGCCACTTTTTCTGCCAGGGTTCCACCACTTCTGCTCTCTCTGCTGCTTGCTCCTTGGCCTTCTTTTCTGATGTAGATCCCAAGTTCTTGTCTTATGGGTTCAAATCACTCAGATACCAAAAGCTAAAGGAAGCCAGGAGTAGGTTAGGAGAGTGTATCTGCAAGTGCTGCTGCTTCTGGCTCTGCTGTTCACTCAACACCAGTTTAAAATCCTCTGTTACAGAGGGGCTGGCACTTGCTGTGGCTCTAAGACAAAGCAGAACCTTGTGTAGTGAGTGCTTGTGCAAATTTCCCCACAAGAACTGGGATCCAAAGCCATGCATTCAGCTGCCTTACCTGCACAGAAATCTGCATTCCATTCACACTACAGATTTTGGATAGGCCTTTCCAAACTGTGCCCCTGCTGGAGCAGGGATGTGTGTGTTCTCTCCCAGAAGTGCACGCACTTACTAACCCTTTGCATTTTGGATATTGTGGAGATTAAAGATTTTTAAGTTACATTTGTTATTTAAATACTTAATATTGAAAAGTAAATATCTTTGCTCTGTTTGCAAGAACTCATAGAACACTAACAAAGATCTTAAATTCTGCAAGGCTGCAGGAGACATTCGTTGGGCAGCTCTTCCACAGTCCTGTGTTTGCTTTTCTTCCAAACTTGCACAAGGTAAAGAGCATGTACTAGTAGACAGCAGTAAAATTATACAATGTTATTGTATAGTTCAACATTAGAAACATGTAGAAGTACATGCTTGAGTTCTGGAATTTCTCTAAATTAGAACTAAATGCATTTGTCTCACTCTGCAAATTTTGTAGTTTTGATTTACTTATTGAAAGCAAACACAACAGCAGAGTGGTACTGGTCTAGTTAAGTGTATTATACTTGCCATTCTCAGGAGAATGTTTCAATTCCCAAATCTGCAAACTTTATAAAGGTACTTCTCAAAAGTGTATATTCTAAGGTGTGTGGCTTGCCAAAGGTTAATTGCTTATCCTGCTCAGTGAGGCTTGCAGATTCTGTGTCTGTGCTCTCTCCTGGGGGGCACCAGGGCCTGTACCATGCTTCAGGGCCCACAGGACGCCGACAGAACCTGGAATAAGTTGGGTTTTGTCACTGTTGTTCTCCCACTGGAGTCAAGCTGTATTTTTTAAATATATTATTGCTGTGTGCATACTCTGGCCAGCAGTGGTTTTTAAGATTAGAGCTTCTGTAACGAGGAGTGAGAACGCCACTTGTCAGCTTTGTTGTTCTGCACGTGGATACGCCACTTTTCTTTAATGTGCAGTAGTTTTGTTGACTCAGCATCAGGTATATTTTAAGGCACCATGTCAGATTCATGTTGTATCAAACTTGGTCCATTCTCCTTTTTTCTCACTAGGATCAGAATGATCTGTTAGGAGAGAGTGGAGTTAAAACAATGTAGAGCACTTGCTGTACAGATAACTGCCTACATCTTTCAGTGTCAGAACCTCACAGTCATTTTCTTGTTGCTAAAAACTACCAGAAGTTGTCTGCAAACTTGAGATCACAGCTGGGTGCAAAGGTGCAGTGACTGTGAATGGGTCATTTCACATATCAGCAAAGGCATCTGGCAGTAATTACTGAATTCCAAGAGAGTAGCTTAGTATTCTTTTCTGCTCCAGTATAAAACAGTCCCCCAATTGTTTTTCCTGCAGTTAAGTATTCACTTAACCCATCCTTAGCTCAAGTTATGTTACCAAGTCACTGCAACTGTTCTCTCTCTCCACTTTCTTTTCCTCTCTTACCCTGTTGAAAAGTTAAAAGTGGCATATTATTTAAGAAGACTGTATAATTTTTTCCCTCTGTCTCAATAATACTCCTGTTCTGAATTCATACCATGCTTCACAACTTGCAGGCCCTGACAAGGTGCAGTTGCTGTCTGTATTTATGTACTTCAATGAGCTGCGTAACAGTACATGCCTAAATTCTGAAACTTCACTAAATTAAGATTAAATACATTTGTCTCACCCAGCAAATTTCACAGAGGTAATTTACTAAGCTTATTGGAATTTTAAAATTATTTGGGCTGTAATGGAGCATATCATCCTCCTTTGGCATTCTATTGTGCTTTTATGTACTCATTTTTTGTATACGGCTGCTGCTTTGTTTGAATTATGTAGCTCATTGGCTTAGAACATATATTTAAACAATTTGTATTTGGCTTGTTGTCTTTTGTTTTAATTTAGAACTTGTTGCAGAGGGAGCAACAGAAAAAATCACCTCCTCCTCTCTCCTTCCTCCTTTGCTTTACCAGGCATCCAGCAGAAGCCTTTTTGAATGCCAGAGGGGATGATGATCGATGTGTTTTGGCCTGTTACCAAACACTTATAATTAATATTTTACAAGTGTTACTCAATGCTCATTTGTGACAGGTTTGTACTGGGAGGATTCAGAGTTAATTGCTAAGGCAGTTAATTGACTTGTGAGCGTGAAACGCCGATATCCGATTGAACGCTTGCGTCCGATTCCAGCGGAAAAATCCCCAAACAGCTCCTTGCTGCCGGTGCCATTTGCCACCAGAGTGTGAGGGACACACAATCTGCTGCTGCCACTCACAGAGGGATGTGACTGTGGGCAAGATCAAAGCAGCTGGGGCAAGCTTGGGTCATGAGACAGGGAGCCTTTCAAGGGAAGGGAAAGAACACAGATTGCTGAAAGCAAGGTGAGGGGAGCATCTTCAGAGGAGGGGTGGAGAGCAGCTCAGCTTTGTGCAGAGGAAATGTGCAGTGGAACCCACAGGAGGCAGATTTGGTTTGTCTCCTGCGCTGATTGACTGAGGACATGAGGTGCTAAGGCACACAAGAAAGTTTGGTGTTACTAAGCTGTGAATACGGTGAAAAAGAGGAAGTGGTGCTGATTATACTGTTATCATAAATATTTATAGTTTTGTCTTCTGATGATTTTCTGTTTATAAAGCAGCTGATCAGCTGATGTTGAAGCACTGTAACTTTTGATACCTGCAATGCCAGATCTTTACTAACTGTGTGAAATAATGGATGCATCCAAAATTGAACCCAACTCCTACTTTTTCTTCTGAACAAACATTTCTCATCCAAGTGACTTAGCACATCAGTGGGAGTTCTGTTTTCCCAGTTACTCATGTAATCCACCATGTGAACTGATGCGTGGAAAGCACGGAAGTTAAAACAGGTCACCTAAAACAAGTGCTCTTCTCTCTTCTGCTCTCTAGTTACCAGCTCAGACAGGAGTTGTTTCAGCTCCTGAGTGCGAAGCGGCTCTGCAAGGAAGATGAAGACAAATGGAGACAGGAGGCAGCTGCCTTCTTCATTCAGGTTGCTTGGAAGAAGCAGCTGAACCACAGCCCCCTGAAATCAGTTCCTTCATGTAAAAATCAGAAGTCTGTAAACAAAACCAGTTCAGCCATAAAAACCAGCAAGCAGTCCATCCTAAAGCAGATATATGGTAATTTTCTTTTCACTATAATTTATTTGTATAACTATGCTTTTATTTTTATGATAGAATGTATTAATCTATGCACTTCTTACCTAATTGTTAAGAATTTTAGCTATTTATAAAAATTAGTCTCAGGTGTTCTGGGCAATTGTATTTCTGTTTCAGATTAAATAAACCAAACAACTCAGTGATTTAAAATGGCTGCAGCTAAAGCTGTTTGAATCCCCACACAGCATTGTTTCAGCACAGGTCTTGAGCAATCAAATAATTCTGTTGCCAGAGCTGCTCACATATATCAATGTGGAAAGAGAACAGAGCAGTTAAGCTGGGGATAGCTGGCTGTATCCATGCAGAGTGGCTGTCTGGATCATGGTTTGATTTTTTAAAGCATTGTTTTAAACTTTTTGTTTGTTTGTTTTGTACTGTTTTAAAATATTTTCATACGAAGAATATGTTCCATGTTGATAACTTTCCTGTATGAAGATGTGATCTTTATGGCAAGAGCAAGATTGTCTTTTACAATTCTGCATTGCTTTGCACTGTGTCTGAATGTGCACATGCAAAGGAATGCATCTGCAAGAAAAGGTAAAGTCTTGCTTCTAGACCTTGAGTTCCTTTACAGTGTGGATCACTGATGGAGTAAGGATATGCTAACCTTATGTACTTTAACAGGTGGTAAGTCACTTCTAGCATGGCTCTGTAGCTTTGAGAATCAAAAAGGATAAAATAAATAAAGCTAATAAATTTATTTTCCTTATTTTTTTATAGCAACTTTTTTTTATATATAGCAAGATGTATTTTAACATTAGTTTGATCTCAGTTGTAGTTGTCACGATTTTCTGTTATATAGAATGTCTCATGAGTTTCCCCATAAAAAATGAGAAATTTTTAGGATAAAATAATGCTGTAGCTTACTGAAATAGTTTGCAGCTATGCACAACCACATGTCCATGTGATAATCACAGAGCTGTTCATTGTTTGTTAAAGGGCGTTCTCAAGAAGGCAAAGTGTGTCAGTCAGCAAGATCTCCTTCCAAGCTGAAACTTTCTGATGTGCAGCTGGTCTCAGGTAGGTCACATCCATTTTAAGAATACATTGATGTTCATATACCTGAGATTGCTTTCTCCTTAGATAAGAAATCAATCTGCTTAAGGACTGGGCTGTCTTATCAAAATGTGCAACTACTGCCAAACTGTTGTGATTGCACACTCCTTCTTTCATCACTTTTGGGCTTAACTGAGCACTGCACTTCTATCCTTGAGTGATTTGGATGAAAAACTTCTTTACTAAATGACATTTGTCAGACTTTTTAAAGTGTATTATGGATTTACTTGGGGTTGGGAGTTGTGGTGCTTCAACATCACAGCATGCGGTGACAAATGTCGGTGCTTCACCACGTGAAGGTTTAGTTCTCCACTGGGCATTTGGTGTTCCTGGCTGTGCCACACCTCAGTCAGAGAGGCCACATCTAGATGGGAGCACAGCAACTGCTTCAAGGAGTCAGAAGTTCAGGTAATTTGTAAAGGAAAGTAAAATGCATTTTTCAAGTAGCTTAACACAACTCTGAAGTCCGAAGGAAATCTGACTGGACCTATCCTTGAGTTTGTTAAATTGAAGGTGAATTTCTGCCTCGCTAAGAAGAGACAGAGACCTTTTTCTTTCACTGTCTGGGAACTGTTTTAATTAAGAAGCATGACCAGACAGGTGTTTGATTGCCACTTCTTCACGCAGATATGAATCTGAATTTCAAAAGAGCTTTTAGCTCTTTTCGTTTAACTTTTCAGGACAACAGATCTCCCTGTCTTCTGAAATAAAAAGGCTTTCTCTTGAGGCTGGAGTGGCCTTTGCTTTCATAACTTGGTGACGAACAGGTTAGTGATAGGAACTCTGCCCAGTTCCTTTAGAACACTACCTACTTTTATTCACCTAATAGGAGCTCAGGGAACTTTAGCCCTTACTTAAAAGACAATAACATGTTTTTCATCTGCCTGCCTTTGTGCATGACAACATTACGTTTGTTGGAAAAGTTCAGAGCTGTCAGTGGCTAATGCCAGATACTCCGTTTCTGACGTAGGTGCCTGGAGTAGGTCAGAATGGACTGCTCAGTTTCACTCTTCCCTTGCAGCAGGTACATCTGGGAAGGTGAAGGCTGACTGTCAGCCCGAGTTTTCATGTTCACAGAGCTCGTGGAAGAAGCGTGCAGTGACAAATCTGTAATGGAGACTGACACCCAACTCAGTCAAACACTTTGCAAGGGGGATATGCAAAGAGTGTGCAAAGGAAATGTTCAGTAAAGGGGGACAGGTAGAAAAGGGATGGGTTATACAGGCATGGGGTAAGTGCTTTGGAATATTCTGGCAAATAGGCCCCTTAAGATTGTTACCATTAAAATATTTCGGAACTTGAAATCTTTTTCTAGTTTGGCTTTCTAAAATTAAATAGATTCTTTTGTCAATTCAGCCGGTGGCACTTAAAAGAGGTGCTCTGCAGAACCAGACAGTCTGGTTCTTTGCTTCCCTGTGGACATTAAAGTGTGTTCAGAGTTGCAGAGGAGCAGGTTTTGCAACTCTTGGCATTAGAAAGACACCCTTAAGATGTGCTGAGTTCACACCCTCAATGAAACATTTGGATCTGCACTTGGGCTGACCCTTTATCCCATTCCAGCTTGGAATAAAGCATTGAAATGTTTGCAGCTAATCTTTACAAACCATGGGAAGGAAAACACGTGTATTATTTGTAGCACGTTACAGGAAATAAAAAAACATTGCATGAGCAATTCTGAGTACTCACTTTAGCCCCTGGACTAGTTTCCCTGACTTTCTAGAAAGAGCCCACTGCCTACCTCATGTTGCTAAAGATTGCTTAACACAATCTCTTTCTGCTCTTCAGCAAATTCAGCCAGGAGTATGTAGTGTTAGTCTGGAGCCCTACATTCATTTATGGGGGTGACCCTCACTGTGCCCATGAGAGGCTGCTGCAGTCCCACAGGCAGCAGCAGCAGCATCAGTGTTCCACACAACTGTACCCAGTGCTGCAGAGACCAAACTCCACTGGGAGACAATCACCAGCGAGATGCCAGGAAAAAGGCATTTTCTGCTCCCAGCAGATTTGCTGCTTATGAAATCTAGAACACAGTGTAGATGAAGCTGCTTTTCACCCACTAGGGTTACTCATCAAAACTGTTTTGTTTTTTTTACAGTGAGCAACTTACAGTGTGTTAATTTGTTGGAGAACATGGGAAAATCAAGGCAATTTTCATACAACATGAGACCAACCACTGCTGCAAAACCAAAAAATACAAGACTAAAGCATTAAGCAAAACAGTGTTTGGAATTTAAAATCCATTCTGGTACAGCTGTTATCTTTCATAATGTATAAGCCATCTATGAGGTATTAAACTTGAACATTTTCAGTTTTGTATTATCACAGCATTACATGCCAAGCAGACTGCTAAAGAGCTGGACTCATTTTGTGTACAAACTGTTTTTTAAATGCAACTGTTAATTTTTTTATCAACACAGGATGAAATCTGAATTGCATTTGAAGACAGAAAATGAAGCCCTAAGCCCAGTATTGCAATAACACTGCAGAGGCAATCAAATCTTTCCATTGCAAAAAGTAGGAATTTTGAATGTGTTCATCAAACAGCGTTTCAAAAAAGAGGGAAACTGTACTAAAGACACTACAGTTCTGAGAGACCAATGTTCAATTTTTACCTCAAGTTCATTAAATTAATTCCAAAATCCAAGCAGGAATGGAAGAACATTCTTCATGCTCCACTTCTCTACTAAAGAAACAATTGTTCCTTAGCTAACTATGGATTTGGAAGGAAGTGTAGACATGTTGACATAAAACACTACAAAAATTACTTTCACAACCTATGGAAGCTATTAGGGCTGTGTTTTCTACCCTTTGAAATTATCACCAATTTTTAAATAACTCTTTTTCTATGTGCATTAAATAGAGAAGCAAGAAAAGATGGGCCCAACTGTAGAGGAAAAAAAAAAGTTCTTGTAAAGCTTTAGAGCTGCCACAGTGTACAGTAGTTACCTTGCACAAAGTATTTAAAAATATGAACTCAGCAAAAATAAAATATGTTACTCTAAAGCATATTGTTTTCTAATTTTTTTCTACTTGATACTACACAATTCTATTGTTTTTTTAAATAATGTGATGTTTCAAAATAATAGATGAGCAGAGTCAGTTGAAGTCTGTTTCTCTGTAAGCTCTTCAGCAACAAGAAAACTTCAACACCCCTCACTGTGGTCACCACATTTTACTAAAACACTTTCCAGTAAAATCTACTTGCTTGAAGAAAAAAAAGGGCAACAGAGGTATTGCAGTTCTCTGTAAAATTTTTATTGTTTCACTTACAAAAAAATTGACAAGCTTTGTTCCAACATCTTCCATTCAAAACTAAATAGAAGTAAATGCTTTACAATAAATGCAGTTCGACCTCTTCAATATACTGAGTTTATAGGGCCAGGTGTCTGGGGATGAGAGGCAAGGTAGATGTTGAAACAGTAATGGAGGTCTGTGAGCCACTGCTCCTGAACTTCACCGCTCTTCAGTGTCTAGAAAGGAGAAAAAAGGTAAAACTCAAGCACTTGCAAAACTTGGCTTTGTTTCTACAGGTAATCAGGTGCACTGTTAAAGGTACAAGACAGCCATGTTCCCCTGCACACAGTGACACTGTTTTCTCTTTTACACATTTCACACGGTGTGTCTGTTAAAGCCCAAATAATAAAGTGTTACAGCTGGGTACACTAAGTCATTGCATTACCAAGTGTGTGAGTTAGCACCAGATGTGCTTTCCTTACTCTTAATTAGAATGGCTCACTTACTTTGCAATTCTGCAATTCATAGGCAATTAAAATGCAAATGAGCATGATGCTACCAGTGCAGGAGAGTGCCCCAGCCCAGTCTAAGGAGAACTGCTACCAACAGACCAGACCAGACCAGGAATTCCCTCTTCCCAGGATTATGTAGGTGGCTTAAAAAACCCAACAAATACAATACAACCCACCCACGGGGGAACAGCACAAGAATTAATTGTGGCATTTTCAACACTAAAGAGAAGCAAACCCCTCCTAACCTGCAGGTTAGAGAACCTCACCATAATGTCTTACATCTGCTTTCACCAGCACTGTTTGCAAACAGCTCTTCCTGACTGTTTGCAATGATTGGTAAAGATAAACATGACATACACATGGTGTCTGGGAAACAAGAGGAAGTTTCATACCATGATGTCCTTGATGATCTGCTGCACCAGGAACTCGTTAGTGATCATGTGGCTCCTGAGCTGCCCGTGCTGCATGAGCAGGCGCAGCAGCTGAGCCACCACGGGCAGCTCCTCCCGGCAGATCCTGCTCACCTGCAGGCTTTGCAGCATCAGCCTCAGCAGCCGTGGCAGGAGTGCTAATGCAGAGATGCATGATCTCCACAGCATGTCCCTGAGGGGAAAGGGAATCAAAACTGAAATGATTGAGGACACACATTTCAAGGATGCTCCTGTGAACTGGCTGCATGGCTGTACAAGGAAAGCTGCTTCTGTGGATCCAATCACACCAGCTGCATTCACCAGAATTAGTGGCAACGCAGAAAATCTGTACCAGAAAATGCCAAACTTGAAAATATTCCAGAATTTTGTATAATACTGGAAAAACATGAAGGCCCTGCCCTGGAAGCTGTAAATGTTGCTTAATCTCTCATGCAGTGCAATTTCTGCTTCATGCAGCTGCAAAGAGGTTTTTGTTTCAGTCACTTTTCAGGTACACCTTAATCTTTGTTTAAGATTCATAAGAAGCTAAATAATGGACTCAGCTATTTGTGATTTGCAAATCATTAAATACAGTAAGAGAAAAAGGACTTGGGCTTTGAATTTTCAGAAAGCTTTCAACAAGTTTTCTGTATATGGAAAAGTCTGACCTGTTTAAAGACACTCCTGCATTTCAGGTGGATTTATTTGAACTTGTTATCTGTAGCTTTTGGGTTTTTTAAGTCAAATGGCTTTGCAGTCTATGTAATGATGCCTGAGAAGTTTTAAACCTGAAACATCAGATCAGTTAAGAGTACAGATTCATAAAGCCAAATCCTTTCCATGGTGCTTTTCAATGTATCTAATGAAGCTAAGGTTAAAGATTAAGGTATAAATATCCAACTTTACAAAATCAGGATGGTTTTGACATCCAAGTAGAACAATTTGAGATGAAACCTTCTTCAGTTACTGTTTTAAGTAATTCCTAGTAACTCTGCAGATATTTTTCTTATATCTAAGTACTGGTTTGAAGTAAGCAAAAGAGAGACAGGAAAAAAACCTCTGAAGGGAGGGGGGTGGTATCCTTTCATTTCACATCTCTAAATACTTGTGGCTGCAAAGATAGAGACAAGATGGTAAGAAGAGCAGCTTTACCTTTTCTGTAAATGTTCTGCATCCTCTCTGTCTATAGTTAGCAGAAAGTACAGAAGACTGTAACAACAAGAGGCCAAGAACCTGTGCAGGTTTTCACTTATGATGCAAGCTTGATCCAAGAGCTTATTTATGGCACATAGAACAGATCCAGCTGTGCTATCAGGTATTACAACCAATCCAACCTGTATTAAAACAAGACCAAAAAAACCAAAAAATCAACAACCCAAATTCATCACTTAATACAGAAGATTTTTTGCTGGGATACAAGCAAACCTAGAGCTTTCCTGTGGTGACATGTATTACTTTGTTTCTGTTCAAACTCTACAGACCAGTGCATTTTTTCAAATCCCTGCTTTCCCAATAAATTGCCACCCATACCGACAGAAGGTTAAATTGCAATCTTCATTCCATGCCTTCTAAGCAAACACTCATCTCAAACACATTTGCAAAACACAGCACTGCTTTGAGCCTTGCTCTGAATGACAGTGCAGGCACAAACAATCTTGTGGGCAGAACAGGTCTTTCCTTTTAACCATATATCATGGGACTGGGGAGGCCTTCTGAGTCTTGAAATGGCAGTGAGCAGTCACTGAGGTAGAAGGAAACTCTGATTTATGCTACAGAAAGGAAAGCTTCTACTGGATTGTCACCAGGGTGAGTCTCCTTTGAAGCCCAACAGGAGCTTTATGAACTGAGGTTAATCAAAGCTAATGAAATATATGGTGAGCCCAAAGTGGGGTGATGCTCTGCTGTTGTTAAAGAGAGAACATCATCTTGAGTAAGGATTTTATAGGCATGATAAATAATTTAGAAAAAATTCTTGGTTTTTGTAGAGGCAGTGAGTTAGAAAGCAGTTTAAATTTTGAAGTACTATGCAGTAAGTACCCTAGATTTTTGTCTTGTAAAGCCATAAAAAAAATCATGCACTGCTAGTGTGGCACCATTTACCTTTAAAGAACTATTTAAGGAATTTGAGAGTAGTCTAATTTGCTCACCTGCAAGTACACTGTTTTAAGCTGACAGAAGGAACTGGTTCACTTAACAAGGTCAGCTGTTTCTTTCAGAAATGCTTAGAAAAAAGATCAATAAAGTACAAGCTACAGAAATGTGAAATGTGTTTCATTCATACCATTACTTGTGAGAGGTAAGAGATACAGAACAACTATGAGTTGTAATTTTAAATCCTTCCAGCCTAAACACACTGGGTGTATTTCAAGGCCACGAGCACAGATTGCTGTCCCAGGCTGACCTGTGCCACTCAGGTGCAGAGGCAAGAGGAGGATGATGATGGTCTTTTGCCTGACAAAAGGTGGGACTGCAGCTGTCACCAGGACCCTGCTGAATACTACAGGACACTGAGGCACCAAACAATTAAAATGAGTAACATTCTTCCTGATCAACTGTAAGTAAGACATAATGGCAGAGATCTAGATGGATAAAAAGAACCATCAAGACCAGCTGAGCCAACACTACTGATGGAATGTGTGCTGGTCAGCCAGTCTGAAAGATGACAGGAACAGAGACATTTCAATTTATCCAAGTCCAGTGGATGAGGCTACTCAGATAAGTTCTCATATAGGATGTTGCCTCCTCTGTGGTGGCTTTGCTCCCTGAGAGGTGTCAGCAGCCAGTTGGAGACCTTGGGCAGCAGTCTTGACAACCATAACAAGCCACTTTTAATGGTTTGCTCTCAAAGGGACAGGGCAGTAGAACATAGAAGCCTTTTTAAAAGTTGATTTAAGTCAGCATCCACCCCTAAAAATGCAGATTATAGTTATAGGTAAGCTACTCCCTATGGAAGCTTTGGTGTAGTAACTTCTCAGTCTGACTCCAAGCACGGAATGGCAGACACTGGGTAGATCACAGAACAGCCTGACAGCAGGGCAGGAGCAGACCTTGTGGTCCTCCCTCTCATCAGGCAGCATCACAGGGAACTGCAGATTCTGTCCCTGACCATTCTGTTACCCAGCTCTGGCTCTGTCATCCCCATCCTCAGCTCAGCATGTTCAGCATTAGAAGACAGGCTGCAAAACCCACAGAATGGGTCAGCTGGGACCACAGTGGTCATCTGGCCCAACCTCCCTGCCCTGCTCAAGCAGAGGGGTCATCCCACAGCACAGGATTGTGTCCATATAGTTCCTGAGTATCTCCAGTGAGGGAGACTCCACATCATCTGTGGGCAATCTGTTCAGGGCACAGTCAACCTCACAGTAAAGAAGTTCTTCCTTGTGTTCAAGTGGAGCTTCCTGAGCATCAGTTTCTGCCTGTTGCCTCTTGTCCTATTGCTCAGCACCACAAAGAACCTGGCATCCATCATCTTGGCATTCTTTAGCTCATCTAAAGCTGCTGGCTACTCTTTTGAAAAGCAAACCAAACCAAGAAGTGTTTTATTTATGGACAAACTGTTTTGAAGACAAAGTCAAGTATTCACAAATCTGAGCAAAATTACCCATATAAGTTTAGACACCAACAGTTATCATGTATTTTTCAAACTCGCCCAAATCTTGTTTAAAGCTTTTTCAAGTGCTGAAATGATATGTTAAATACACAGGATAAGTAGATTTGAGGATTAATGAGACTGTTAGCAAATTTATCACAAGAAAGTTTTAATGTAGAAGACAAAATGGTACTTACCAGA